TTTGTATAAGTATGGATTCTGACATAAAGTCCCACTTACTCTAGTGCACAGACACTTAATCTTACTTGGGTCAATTGAGGGCTGGTGCTAATCCACCTATTGCACACAATTTAGAATCAAGCTAAAACAGAACATATATTCCTTTAGATTCAATGGTATAAGAGTACACTTCCTATCTTAAATTTCAGTGTTAAATATACACATTAATAAACAAATAATAAAAAAAAAAAATAATATCCTTGTTTTATAACTGGAAATCAAAAGTCTGGTATATCTAAATAAATTTTTTAAGAGATGTTTAAAGGCATGTAACCCTTAAATGAGATATAAAATATCAGACCACGCCCCCGACCAATGGAACAACAGAGGGGGAGGAGACAGACGCTTAAAAGAGAGGGCTGGAGCTCTATGACGGTGTCAGAGGAAGCCTGTGGAGGCGCGCGAAACGCGTTACGCATACGTCATGTAAGAGGCGGACCCGGAAGCGGATCATGTGATCGGACGGACGAAACCAGGAAGTGATTTTCGTTTTTGCTGTTTTACATGCTTTTATGTGGGTATCTTTGTGAGCAATTCCCACCACTTACCAAGTAAGGGTTTTTAACTTTTTGTTATATAATAAATCACATTTGTTTTGAATATTTTTATTGTTCTCACAATATAATCGCATATATCAAACTGATTTGTGATAAAGCAGGTATATGCCCGCGCAGGGGCTTAAGCGTCAACATATAATAATGTAAGCATTGTGTCGCCTACGCAGAGGCGGTTTTGGTATTGCCTTTGTTTTGAATATGTTGATTGGTTCATAACATAGATTCCATTGCAAACGTATATGTGGTTAAGTGGTTAACCGCCTACGCAGAGGCGTTGTTTTCGGTGCATGAATAATTCAAAGTAGCCATGTCCTGACAGAATGTGAGAGTACTTATGTTCTGCAGGATTAGATTTTTCATTTTCGTTTAACAGGTTTGGTGTTGCCGTGTGTTAGTGTTATTGGCATATGTGTACAGCTGTGTTAGTGTCGATTAGCGGCTCATGGCCTGCTAACATGCATCTTGGTGTATTGATACACTGAAGGAGGTGGAGGGGTATGTTCGTGTAATTGTCTTGCGTTGACTGGTTCGTGTAGTTTCTATGTGTTTGTGGGATTATTTTGAATATTTGTAGTGCTGTCATAGCACCCGTGTGGGTAGCCCACGCAGGGGCGTCAGGTTGCATTTCATACATTTGATTGCATTCCGTCGCCTTACATAGAGGCTGGATGGTCCTTGCGTGCACCATACCGCAGAAATATTCACAATTTGTTACTCGCATTTTACATCTGTATGGCTTGCAGTGTTGCTATATTACCGCTGCGCCTGTGTACATTGTTGTGGGTGTTTCTGCCTAATCTTATTCTATTTGTTCTGGTGCCTGTGCTTGTTTGCTCCCTGTGCGTCTGGGTATCTGTTGCTTTATGCAGTTTGGTGTTACCCTGTCGTGTGCGTCTAGGTGTGCCCTGTGTTTGTCCCCGTTCGTGTTCTAATGGGTCGTCCCCGTTATGTCTGGTTTTAAGGGCTTCGGTTGGGTGTGTGTCCGTGGCGTGGCCAACTCTTGGTTCCGTGTCTCCTATGTGTGTTTTTCCTTTCTGTGTTGTCTGCGGTGTTGCCCCCCACTGCGTCTTGACTGTCCATGGGTCTGTTGAGGGTTGAGTGTCTCGTGGCACTAGGTAGGGTTGCTTCATTCTGGTGTTGTTGTCGGTCAGTCTCGCTATGAGGGGGTGGCTAGGTAAGGCCTTTAGGTTTCATTTTGCTACTGTGTCTGTCTGTCGAGGTGTGTTTCTGGGTTTAACTGGGGATTGACATGGGGGGGGGGAGAGGGCGTTGGGGGGATGGGTGCGTCCGTCCCCTACCGCCGCCGTTGTCCGCCACCCTTCTCTGCCTCCCGCCCCGACCCCATCCTTAGCCCCCTCCGTCTCATCATTCTTGGTTACCGTGTGGCCAGGCGGCGTTGAAAGTCGTTTGATGCGGTTAATCGTATCCAGTGAAACCAGCGTTTGGTATATCGGTCTCGAAGTTTCGGAGTGTTTGCCATTAGGTCTTCAAATTTCCTAGTGGTTTCCACCTCCTCTAGCCATCGTGTTATCGGGGGTGCGTTCGCCTGCTTCCAGTAGATGGGGATGACTGTTTTGGCTGCGTTCAGCAACCGCGGTATCACTGATCTGGTGTATGGCTGCGCGGTCATGTTGGTGTGGTGGAGGAGAAAGGCGGCCGGGGACCCCGGGAGTGTCTCGTCCGTTACTTCGTGTATTATATCCCTAATTGTGTCCCAGAAGGGCCGGAGTCGTGCACATGCCCACCAGATATGTAGAAACGTGCCTGTTTCCTCCCCGCATCTCCAGCATGTGTCTAGTATATCTGGGTTCCTGACGTGGAGTGCTGTCGGCGTCAGATACCATCTGGTGAATATCTTGTAGGAGTTTTCTTGCAGGCGTGCAGAGCTGGGGGTTTTTTGTATGAGAGTGATGCATTTGTCCCAGTCCGCTTCCGACATGGTCTCATCTAGGTCTTCTTCCCAGTTTCTTATGCAGGGCGGTGCCAATAAATACCTACAAGTGATCAATATCGTGTATATCTGTGAGATAGCTCGGGGTGTTTCTGTGGTCTCTGTGCACAGGTTCTCAAATTGGGTAGTTTCCCTAAGTAGGGATGGTTTTTGCGGGATGGATCGAGCATATTGGGAGATTTGCGCTCTCGCTAGTGTGTGTGAGAAAGTGTGTGATCTGTCCGGGAAGAGTTCTGTTAACGGCTGAATGTCGAACGGGTGCACCAGGACGTCTGTCATGCAAGGAATTGTTGGGTGTCCTGCTGGGCCCGGTGTGGGGCCAAGGTTGCCTGCTGGGAAGTCCGGTTTGCCCCTTAGTGGCAGCAGCGGGCCTGGATCCGTCGTCAGGTAGTGTTTTGTGCCCTGCCTGTGCCAGATCCGCATGGTTGCCGCCACAAAGGGGTTAGTGATGCGTTTGCGCCTGTACGCCGCCGCGGATATCCAAGGCAGTGTCCGGAGGTCGCAGTTGGTGGTGTCGGATTCCAGTTGGGTCCATGGTTTTGTGCCACTGGCTACCGTCCAGCTTATGACTCGTGTAAGATGTGCTGCGTGATAGTAGCGTTCGAAGTCGGGGAGCGCTAGACCCCCTCGGAGTTTGGGTAGAATGAGCTGGGTATATGCTATGCGTGGGGGTCTGCCCTTCCATATAAACGTGCGGACCTCTGCCTTCAACGTCTTGAAGAATGTTTGTGGGGCTTGTATCGGTACTGTTTGAAACACAAAGAGCAGTTTGGGTAGCAGTGTCATCTTGATCGCATTTATCCTCCCTAGCCATGAGATGTAGTATGGGCTCCATCTACGCAGTTCCTCCGTCACTTTTTTTAAAATGGGGAGGTAGTTTTGGGTGTACAGGTCAGCCGGATTGGGTGTAAGCCAAACCCCCAGGTATCGCATGCGTTGGTCGCACCAACGGTATGGGTAGCGTCTCTGCAGTGTATGTCTGTCCGTGTGTTTGACGGTCAAATTCAGTATCTCTGATTTTGAATAATTAATTTGGAGGTTTGAGATTCGTCCGTATTCCTCAAATTCTGTCTGTATCGCTGGTAGGGACATTTCTGGGTTCGTGACTACGAACAGCATATCATCTGCGTATGCTAGCGTTTTGTGATGTGTGTTTCCGATGGTAAGCCCCTGGACGGCGTCATTGTGCCTGATCCTGTTGAGGAACGGCTCCAGCGTCAGTGCAAACAATAGTGGTGATAGTGGACAGCCTTGTCTGGTCCCGTTGTGTATCTGGAATGGGTCCGTTAGTGCACCGTTGATCCTGATTCGTGCCGTCGGGTCGGTGTATAGCGCCCTCACCCATATGCCGTACCTCGGTCCCACTCCCGCGGCGTGGAGGGTTTCCATCATCATGTCCCAGTCCACCCGGTCAAATGCCTTCTCCGCATCTGTAGATAAGAGAAGGGTTTGGTTCTGTTGGGTTCTGACGTGCGCTATGATGTTCAGGGCTCTGATAGTGTTGTCCCTTACCTCCCTGCCCGGGATGAATCCTGTTTGATCTGGATGTATTGTGGCCGGTAGCAATGGTGCTAGTCGTAGTGCCAGTATGCTGGCCAGCAGCTTGATGTCAGTGTTCAGTACTGATATTGGGCGGTAGCTTGAACATAGTGTTGGGTCTTTTCCTTCCTTTGGGAGTAGGGTGATATTCGCCGAGGTAAATTGCGCGGTTGGTGTGGCTCCCTCTTGTATGGAGTTCAGGGCTTTCAGTAGGTGCGGCACGACTTCTTGTGTAAAAACTTTGTAGTATTGAAGGGGCAGCCCATCTGGCCCTGGTGCCTTGCCCGTTTTTGCCTTCTTAATGGCATACGCCAATTCTTCCGGCGTGATGGGGGCTTCTAGTGCTTCTCGGTCCGTCTCTGATATTTCTGGCATATGCGCCGAGTCTATGTATCTGCGTACGTCGGCGAGTTTGCTCGATTGCGATTCTCCCGGTTCATCTTGTCGGAGGTGGTATAGGCCTTGGTAATATGTGCGGAATTCTGTCGCAATCTGGTCCGGGAGGTGCTTAAGTCGTTGCTGCGTGTCTTTGATCTTTGGGATGTACAGTTGGGTTTTACGTTGTTTCAGAAGGTTTGCCAGCAGCCTTCCGCATTTATCCCCGTGTTCATGTATCATGTGTCTGTAGTGCTGGTATGAACGTTGAATTGCTCGATTGAGGTGTGCGGTGAGTTGGTTTCGTTTGGCCGTGAGTTCCTGGTATGTCGTTGCGTCCATGGTGCGTTTGTGTCTGGTCTCCAGGGTTGCGATGTCTCTGTTAAGCTCGAGCGTTTCCCGCATTGCTGCTTTCTTGCGGGTTGCGCATAGCGCGATGATCTGGCCTCTGATTACCGTCTTGTGTGCTTCCCAGCATGTTAGTGGCGTCACGTCTTCTGTCATTGGTTTGGAAATAATCTCGTATGGAGTTACTAATCTTATGTCACTACCACGTCCGAGAGGATCGATTCGTTTAGTCTCCATGACATCTGCCGGGGCCTGTATAGCGGCGATTTCAGCCGCATTCGAATCGGGCAGTGGTCCGACCAGGTCATTGGCAGGATCTCCGCGGCGTTAAGTAGGTTCAGATTGTGGTGTGTCATTAGGAAATAATCCAGTCTTGTGTATGTTAAGTGTGCCGATGAGTAGAAGGTGAAGTCCCTGGCGGTTGGATGCAATGCTCGCCAGTAGTCTGCCAGCTGGTGTTGGTGTAGGAGGCGGAGTGTTTTCGCATGTCTGTTTTGTGGTGTTGCTCCTTGTGGGGACGTGGCGTCCTGATCCGGGTGTAGTGCCAGGTTTAGGTCTCCTCCGATGATCAGGGTGCCTTCCGTAAACTTCATCAGGGAAGCCACAGTGCTCCGGAGGAAATGGTATTGTTTCGTGTTTGGGGCATAGATGTTGGCGAATGTGTAGGTTTGATCTGAGATAGTGCCTTTAGTGAAAATAAATCTGCCTTGTTTGCATCTAAGGGTGGCTTGTTCTATGTACGGGATTCTGCTGGAGAATAGTATGCATACTCCCTGCGTTCGTCTATCTGGGTTGTTACTGAAGTACCCCGTTCGAAAGTTTCGGTCCTTCAGTGCCGGGGCCCTGTTCTCCTGAAAGTGCGTTTCTTGGATGAACGCTATCGACGTCCTGTATTGTTTCAGGTCCCTCAGGAGTCTTGTGCGTTTTTCTCTGACATTGAGGCCCTTTACATTGTAGGAGATTATATTTAAGTCCTCCCTGGTGAACATGCTGGGGTCCGGGGCCGGCATGATCCGGGTGGCCGCAGGGGACGGACGGACAGCAGGGAGGGGGAGGAGGGGGTGTAGGTGTGGCTGTGGTATGCACGTATGTGGTTTGTGATGTTTGTGATGATGTTCTAGGTTTGGCTGGGGTCTGGGTGGGCCCTTCGTGGGTCCGTGTTATCTGTAGGGTTTCTGTGGTCTGTCCAGTAGTGGACAAGTGTCCCGGTGAGTTGACCGGTGAGCCCAACCGACTGGTGGGCGCTGGTCGTTTCCGGGAGTTGTACGCCCCCTATATATCGGGGGTTTCTGTGTCCTATACCTTTGGGGGGGTCGGGCAACTTGTCCGTGATGGACTGGTTCGTCTCGTGTCTTGAGAACTAAGTCTTACTGTTTGTGGATTTTGGTCCTTCGTCTCCTAGGTGGCTGTGTGGCTGAAGCTCAGTCCGCTTTGTGTCTCATTCTGTGTGGGGTTTGAGGCCGTGGGCGTGTGGCGTGCTGGGCTGTGTACATGTCACCGTTGCCGCTATCTTGCGTCTACTCCGTGTGTGATTCGCATTGCCGTGGGCGCGTGGTGTCCGGTGGGGTGGTGTCTCGTGAGCCGTTTAGAGTAAGGTCGGTCTAAGCTGGGTCAGCTGCGCAGGGGCCTTTCGCTGTGCGCTCGCCTGTTGGGCATTATTTATTTAATTGAGGGCAGTAGGGGGGGGTTTAGCGTTGCATCCAACGCCGCGCGCGGGCCGCTTGGTAGCTATGGTGCTTCTCGCTGTGACGTCTACACCTCTGTTGCCGCTGTGCGCTGTCTGGGTCTCTGTGCTGAATACGCTGTCGTGCCTGACTCTCTTTACACGTGTTGTGTCCTATTTTAGCTCTATTGTGGGTCGGGTGCACTGCGTCATCGCATTTGTGACAAAGTTTAGGTACCTTAGGCTGGGAGCCGGATTTACAGTGCTCCACAGTATACCGTGGTGCGAGTCAGTTGTACAGGGATAAAACTTTTTTTTTTGTCTAGAGATAACACATTTGAAAACTGTACATCAGATTGCAATGATACATAAGATGTCCGTGTGCGAGACCTGATGTGGCCCCCAGCTCGCCATTCCCTTCCCAGTTACCCGTCACCTGGTCATATATGTTATGTGGCCTAAGTTCTATGGGTGGATGTCTGGCCACGTCTCTGTTTGCCAATAGGGGTGTCTGCTCCCGTTGCATATCCGTGTCGCTGCGTCTGAGTTTCGTTCGGCCGTCTTGCCCCTTTTTTTTTTTTGTTTTTCCCCCCCTCTCCTATCCTCCCCCTCCCCCTCTCCCCCATCCCCTATAATAAATCACATTTGATACTATTCAATTGGAGGTCCTGCCTCTCTCTATCCTCTATTTGCACAGCATTATCAAGCTTTCGTTGGATATACAACATGTTATCTACAGTGTGGGGATATCCCCTCTCCAGTGGAGCATTGAAAACCCAGAGCCAGGGGTGATAGGGCTCTGGTATATGTGAGTTTTCTCCCTCATACCCCCCTGCGTTTTTTACTTTTATGTTAGTCCAGATAGTCTGCACTATTATTTCTCTTTTTATACCTACAGACTAATTTAGCGTGCTTTTCTTGGTAACTATCAATTTTTGTGTACATCATTGTGTATCACTGGTTTAACTGCTGCCCCATATTGTCTGTATTTTGTTTTATTTCATAGCGCTTACACATTGTTGTTTTTTTTTGTACCCACCTAATTACCCCAGTACACATGCCCCCCTCCTCCAAAGATATTCTAGATGGGAAAGACGTAAATCTAGTCTCTCTGTTAATCGCTTCTCAGGATGTTGTGGAAAACAGAATGTACAATTATGGCGACTTAGCTGTTGTAATGAAAGCTAGAAACCACGACTAAACAAAAAAACTTGCCATCACTGAGTTTGTTCTAGCCTTCGGTCTATATAGGGGCGTTATGTGCTCTGTTTATCCACAGCGCCGTGAAGAACTTGACCCTTTGCATGCACAAATTGGTGAACTTGGGCCATAAATATGGGGGGTTTATGTTTTATGATTATCATAAGTCTGTGTCAGCAAAAGCAGCAGTAGCCCTGGCCCAGTTTAAAATCTACACCGACTGGAGCCAGTTGGACACAGAGCTCTTTTGCAGACATTTTGCAGGCTTGGTTCCCCCGTCTTCTGCGATCTGCTCATCCACCTCCCATACCACCAATTGCCCCTCAGAAGCTGAACCCTCCTCATATTCGAATTAACCAGTTGGGTCCTAGCAAGCCTGCCCAGCGCAGCTTAAAAGATCAGCTCTGACGACCCATTTTTTTTCCTGGGCAAGGCACAAGTCTGCCACAATATTAATGCAGGAGTGTGTAGTTTCAGTGCCTGCAGATTACTGCACGTGTGTTCTATATGCTTTAGGGCACATACTAGAGCCATGTGCCCATCAAAATTGAACCCTAAGCAATGACTAACTAAGGCGAAGATAGACAACTTGGCATTCTACTTAAAAACTCACCCCTTCCCCTCACTTGGTGGAATACATAATTCACGGATTTTCACAAGGTTTCCACACTGGGCTAGTGACACTCCACGTTGGAACTTTAGAAAGTCCCAACCTGTTATCCGCTGTGTATGACCCGCTAACAGTGGATGATCTTATTGGGAAAGAAGTTCAAAAGGGTTTCGTGTTACACCCCTTTTCAACCTCCCCTCTCTCCCCCTTTTCTTCCTGGCACAAATCCAATTGGGATCTCCACTAGCAAATACTCAAATAAAAAATGTCTAATCATTGACCTATCGGCTCCTCATTAATCTACAAATCCAAGCCTAAACTCTCTCATACCATCCTTTGATTTCTCTCTAAATTACACCACGGTGGATAATGCTATACAGGCAATCCTGAAGGCTGGTAGAGCTGCATGGCTTAGCAAAACCGATATTACCAATGCTTTCAAGTTACTACCTATTCATCCCTCATTATGGCATGTTCATGGGGTTAAGTTAAGCACCCCTTGCACACTGATAGACTTTCAATCTTTATTGGGGTAAGTAAACTTCGCCACAGGGGAGATCTTTATATCTAGACTGCTGCGCCTATTATCAGGTCTGCCTGATGGCAGTACTATTCGTTTATATCCTCCGGCTATGGCAGATCTGGTCATGTGACAAGAGTTCCTCGCACACTGGAATAGGAGCTCAATGTTCATTCCTCTAGTGTCTGACCAATCCCCAGTTCTTTGGACAGATGCAGCTGCTATCACCGGGTTCCCAGCAATTTACAACAATCACTGGTTGAGAGATTACTGACCGAAGGAGACGCTCAAACTGCCTTCTTTTCACGAAAACGTCCGCATTATTCGAAATCTACCCGATAGTAGCGGCTGCATTTACATGGAGCAACTCATGGTCAGGTATGGCACGTAAATGTTATACCGACAACATGGCGGTCTGTGATATAATTAATAAGTGTCGGTCATCTTCATTGACCATTATGAGGTTAATTTGCAGGCTGACCTGGTTGGCTGCCACATACTAGTGTTTCCTCTTCTGCAAAGATATACCAGGCTACATTAACTCTGCCGCTGATGCCTTATCTCGTTGCAAAGTTCAGGAATTCTTCATTCTTCACCCATTGGCCAACAAGTATCCAACCCATACCCCGGAATTCAACAACTTAATCCTGGACTGACCCAGCTATTGGCACATGGCAGGAAACTGGCCCAGGCTGCATTACCTGTAAAGACTAGGAAAATCTACAATAGAGCTATGGTAATTTTAAGCGGTTCGCTGTAGAATTTAACATTCACGATTATTCGATCCAAACTATGGTACCATTTGCCGCATTTTGCCACCTTCATCCCAAACTTTCATCAACACAATCAAACTCCATCTATCAGTACAACACCACATCATGACCACTATACCAAACCACGCTCCTTTTCTTACTGCTTACCCTATAAAGAACATACTGAAAGGCATCAATAAATTAGATCACCACACTACACGTCTACCTATAGAGGGGAAAAAATTCCAGGCTTTATCGGACATGCTGGACACACAACCATTTGACGCTCATACCAATTTGGTCTTAAAAACCACTAAGTACTTAGCATTCTATGGGTTCTTGAGGCCTAGGGAGTTCACGATAACAACCCAATCAGACATCTGTGCCTCACCATTAAAGACTTAAAAAAGGTGAACGATCACTATATTTTATCGCTCAGGCATTCCAAAACTAATCAATCGGGCCATCCACTAGAAGTGCCCTTCTACCCTACCGAGAATCACTGGTGCCCGGTCAAAGTTTTAGACACTTATTTACACCGGGTTAGGGACACTTTTATACATTCACCGCTTTTTACTCTGCTAGGTAGTCCCCTCACTACTTCCAAGTTCATGTTCTACATAGGAACTCTATGCATTAGATTAGGGTGGGACCCTACCTCTTACTCTGGGCATTCATTCAGAATAGGGGCTACATCAGCCGCATCCAGTATCAATACACCTGCTTACATCATTAAAAAGTTGGGACGTTGGAAATCCGGGGTATACAATAGATACGTACCACAACCATAGAAAGAGTTAAGAAAGCATTTTAAAATCTTGTGTTATAATCATGTTTGCAATAAAGTGTGTTTTCTGCATTCCTTTTTGCCCTCTGTATTACAGGCCTACCCTTACGTCGGTTTCGACACACCCACACCGACTTGCTCCAATCTCAAGGTATTTCACAGTCTCTATATTAACCAACCATAAGTTTAAAGGCCGCAGGCCTGTATTTGTGGGAGGAGTTAGCGTTCCTATAAAACCGTACTCACCCATCTTACCTTCGCCGTGACGTTCAGTTCACCCCACCCACTTCACCCCTTTTTTTATTTAAACAATGCTTCCAAAGGGGCCCTCTTTATTACAGGCCTACCCTTACGTCAGTTTCAATGCCTGCAGATTACTGCACGTGTGTTCTATATGCTTTAGGGCACACCCACACTGACTTGCTCCAATCTCAAGGTATTTCACGGTCTCTATATTAACCGACTACAAATAAATAAATATAAAATATATATATATATATATACACACACACACACACACAAGATTCGGTTTGTAATGGGGTGAAGCATGTATGTATGTGTGAGGGTGAAGGTATTTAGGGAATAAGTGTGTATGTAGGTGAAGAGATACGTTTGAGGGGAGCACTGTGTGTGTGTATGCAAAGGTGTACTCTGTGTTGGAGGGGGTGTACAGCGTTCAGGAGGTGTAGAGAGTGGGATAGGGAAAAAAAACATACACAAACATACTGACTGAAGCAGACTAACACACATTCTCTGACACACATCTTACCTCCATTGCAGTTCCTATGTTGCCTGAGCTTTGTAGCCCCGCCTCTGCTATCCTTCCTAGCCCACTTGCCCCCACGTACAGTGGAAGGGGCAGGAGTGAGCAATTGAAACGCCCTCGCGCTGCTTCAGCATTGGATGCCTGGGAGGGGGCTTGGCTCTGAGGGCTGACGTGGGTACCGGTGTTCTACAGGGCGCTAATGAGCAGCAATGTAAGTAACATGGCCGGCTACACACTCAAAATAATGGAGGGGCAGCCGTAGAGCAAACTTGAATATTAAGTCAGGGCTGATGCCGCCCCTTAAGCAGCGCCCTAGGTGGCCGCCTATTTGGCATATAGGAAACGCCGGCCCTGCATACACGCACAGACTGACCCATACACACACACACTAACCCCCCCACACACAGACTTACACTTACCAGTGTGCAGAGCTAAGCTTGTCTCTCCCCTGCGCTGCTCTCTGTGATCCAGGAGGAATTCCTCCCAGCTAAGTGTCCCCTCTGGCCGCGCGAGGGAAGAGAGTGCAGTGACAGTGTTGCTGTGCCTTGTGAAGGGAGACTCAGTGCTCCCGACTTCAATTTCAATTGGGGGGGGCACTGCATGATGTAGGGGGGTCCCCCTCAGTGACGCCCCTGACCAGGAGGACAAGCCGCTGGACCCTTAGATCAGTCTGCCTGAGAAAGAACCCATTGACTCCGGTCTGCAGCTCCACCATGTGCAGAGCTGCTAACCATGATAGAGGTCTTGCAAGCTCCCAGAACGTTGCAAGACGTCTATCATATGGTCTGCAGCTCTGCATCCGGCGGAGCTGCTGACCAGAGAGCGCTCATTGGACCACCACGGAATTTATGATTTTAAAAACAAAGGTATGTCACAGCCTCCCACCCCTTGGCCCACCTTCACACTGCCCCCAACACACACACACACTCTTCAACCCCACACTGTCACCAACACACACACTGCCCCTCCCATCATGGTCAGTTTTTCTCCCATTGCCGCCGAAACACAATACCCCCCTACACTGTAACCAACAGACACATACAGTCCCCTCGCTGTCACCAACACACACTGCCGACCCACTGTAACTAGCACAAACACCCCCACATTGTCACTAACAAATACGCATTTCATCATTGGACCCAGGCAGCATAAAGTCTTGGTCTGATCTTAGAGGGAGGTAGCTGACTGTGAATTTGTCCACTTTAACTACTTTTTCCTAAATTCACTTTGAATTCCTTACAGTTCAGAGTAAGGATTTACCCTTCTAGTATTTTTTTTTTCCTTTTATGGGTGTAGACGAAAATAAAATCGGGCATGGTGTGTAAGGAAACTAAGTGATACCTCAGAACAAGGCATTTCCACTGAGACTTCCACCCACACACAAGGAAACACCGTTCTAAACAAAGACCGCTTGCTCACTGGGCTGAGCAAGACTCGCGGTCATGTGATCTCCCTGCTGGAGGCCCTCCATCTCCCCACCTCACGTGACTCACTAAGATCGTGCGCTCACGCACATTCGACACTAGAACACAACAAAAACCTACTTCGTTCTACGGGGCGGAGCTTTATAGAGAAAGCGACCAATCACAAAGCAGCATTGTAATGTCTCTCTCCCCCTGTCAGTCCAGGAAGTGGCTGGCAGACCTGGGAGTGATGTATTCGTGGCCCCGCCCAGTTAGCTGCAGACTGTCTATGCAGGGTTTGCCTGTGAGTCAGTCATATGACCGTGACACTGATGGAGTCAGGTTGGCAGTACTAGCTGTGCGGTGGGAGCAGGGTGCCAGGCTCAATGCCTCGCACAAGGAGTTAATAACACCCAGCGTTTGGGTATTTCCTACACCATGCCACCCACTCTCTTCCAAAAGCTTTTCAACAAAAGAAATGGGCAGCTCTCTCCCAGCAGAGACCCCAGGGACGACTATGTGTTCAGGTATTGTGCTTACAGCATTTCTTGTTGTACATGCCTTATGTTATGTTTTAGTTATTATTGTTTTTGTTTTGTTTTTTTAACCCCAGTGGAGGTTTCTTGATGCATTGTATCTCCATCGTTTAATGCATTTATTTAATTGGCAAATTCTTTGACATATTATTGTTCAGAAAACATTTGACAGTTTAGCTGTGCATCATGGGAAATGTAGTCCAAGACGGCTGGGGTGTCCTCACTGCCTTCTGGACATGATTGAAGAATTATTTATTTTAAATAAATTGGTGTTTATGGCTGATCAGGTGAGTTGTAATCCATCTTCACGGCAGGCAGCTGGATACCTGGTGTGCCACTTAAAGTTGGATAAAGCTAGATCGGGGTAGGCAAACTTCAGCACTACAGATGTTGTGGACTTTATCTTTGCCAGTGCTTTGTGGCTGTAACATCTGGAGTGCCAACGGTTGCCTAGTCCTGAACTAGTGTATAAGTACTGTCTGTTAGTATTCTGACCACAGGTTTGACAGGACTCATTGCTGTCTTTACCTTAAGACATTTACATTGGTTATATTTAACTTTATAATTACATTTGTAAGTGTGCCGATTTTACATTGGATTTATTTAGTTTGTATCATGTCATTTTATATATATATATAAAATAAAATTTAAGTTGTTGAATTGGGTCCTCAGATGTTATGGGACTGCAAAGTCCATGTTTGTTTGTTTGTTTGTTTGTTTTTTGTGCAGACAATTATGTGAGTTGTAGTCCAATAATACAGGAGGCCTGCAATTCAACACACTCTGAGTGGAGATTGATGCAGACAGTAGTGGTCAAACAGAAGATCTCCTGCGGCTACAACAGTTGAAAATCCAAATTTTGGTCACCAATTGGTCTAAAATCTTGGGGACTCCATCTTTTGTGAGCTTTGTTTTTCCATAATGCCCAGACAGACAAAGAAGTGTTTCCCATATGTTACTTCAGTATCTGTATGTTGATGTTTGATAATGTAATTTAATAATCACAGTATTAAATTAAAAAGGTTGATGTGTGATTTACTTTACTTGGCACAACTGTTACTGGCTTAGATGGAAAAAAATACTGAAAACCTGTGTCAGTGTTGAGTATTGTGGAGAGATTACTCTTATTGAGCAACAAAGGTCCTAACAGTCAATGGTTTTAGCAAATATAGAATATTTTACTGTTTACAATCATGGGTATGTTTACTTTTGTTCACGTGTATTTTTGAAGTCCATTTGAATCTAGCTGCTTGGTGTTTATAATTCATAGGGCATGCCACGTAAAATATTTAAAGTACAGTATGCAATGTAGACTTTGGCACCAGTAACGTACACTTTAGAATTTACACAGATCCTTAGAGGTGTAAACCTGTTTTTTTCAGGAGTTGCATAGTAGGATAAACTATGTTTCAGTGGCATCAATTAAATAATTTGCATCTCTATCATATGTGACATTTTCTTTCAGGAATCTTGTGTGTGAGCATGGTTTTTCATTACTGTATAAATATTGTATTAATCAAAGGAGAACCAGGGCTTTTATCCCTTTAGGGCAGAATAGATAAATAATGCTATATAGTATTATCAGTGCAGAAAACAATCCTGTATTATATAGTTCTATATAATTTCACTTTTTTTTTTTTTTTTTTTATAAAACTGTTTGTTGTGAAATGTCCTCACATGACACCAATCTATGGAGAAGATGGACAAAGAGCTGGATAATTTATTTTAGTATTGTATTCACTGCGTCAAGATCATGCACAATTTAGCCGATATGGGCCATTTCTATACAGGGTTTAATACAGTTATACAGTGGTGCAAATTCATTGTGTGCTGCACAGGCAGCTGATAGAAGCAGACTGTGTAACTCATCCTCCAGGAGCTTCATTAACTAAAGTAGAACAAGAGTTCCGGGCTGGTAAAGGTGAATTCTGGCATATTGGGCATCTGTCATCAGCAAGCATAGCATTCTGGTTACAGAAAACCAATGGCAGTCCTCCAGAACATACCTTTCCCCTTAGTAAAGGACAATAATGTCACCAGATGAAGATCAGGCTGCAGGGAGAACTTGGCCTTGGAATGGGATTACAGATATGTTTGTTTTTCTTTGGGTTTGAAGGGGGCACGTTTTTTTGGGGGGTTTTTTCCGCTTTTGTTTTGTTGTTGTTGGAATAACTCTTCCTTGCTGTAAAATTAGGTTTCCGTTAATGATTTTATTTGGATGTTCAATTAATGACATAAAGCACAAAATTTATATTTCCGGATAGAAATAAAGTATTCCAGCTGGCTGGCTAACTGCCCAGGCAGGCAACCTAATATCACAAAAAAAAAAGTATTATTCTCTGAAATTAAACATTTGTAAAAATAGGTGCAATAACAGGGTTTTTGCCCCTTAACTATTTCATAAGTACTTTAGTAAGGTGAATTGGGTAATGGTGCTCAGTGACCCTTAAAATTAAAGCATACTGTTGTCATACTAATAAATAGTGTGGGGAACTTTTAACGAATGGCCATTGATTATTGTGGCACACACACAGACGCGCGCGCCATGTTTGACTGTTTCTGTAGTAAAGCATGGTTTTAACATTTGTAGAGTAGTTAGACTTTGTTTAATTAAAAGTGCTACAGCTGGGAAGACCTCAACAGACAGCTGATATTCAGCACATTTTTGTTTGCTTGTGCCAAGCTATGCTTCTTACATCATAATTATAAGACATTTGAGAACCACAAACCTTAGACATAGTGTTCTCATCGCTGTCTATCACTTTCATGTTTATGGTAGCATTGTGTGTAGATATGTACTATGTAATACAGTGACATACAGAATGCGTCAGCACTATTATTTATTTTTAGCGTTGCACATTCAAGTACACAAACCAAATGGCTCCTTGCCCTTACACTGTAAATGTCATGTCTTTCCAACATCAAAATACATTATCCCTGGCACACGAGCCTTTGGCGACTCAAATTAGAGCTAATATGGCTATACAAGGGGTTCACATAGGGCAGACAGAGCACAAACTCAGTCTCTTTGCAGACGATGTCCTCCTCCCCATCACTCAACTTGAAACATCCCTTCGTGCACTCGCAGATGTTTTTGAGAGAATATAGTAAATTTTCATACAACCAGTTAAACACGACTAAAACACAGGCAATGTCAATTAATCTTGACCAAAAAACAATACACTGCCTCAAAGCACACCACGACTTCAATTGGAGAGACGACCACATAGTTTACCTGGGCATAAAACTGACTAAAAGCCTAGATGCCATCGTTAATACCAACTGCCTTTAAGTAGCCTCTGAAATCACCTCATGTATGGACAAATGGAAAGACAAGTTTTTATCTTGGTTGGACTGAATCGCAGCCTTCAAAATGATGCTACTCCATAAACGACTGTTCTTGTTTGGTCCCCATCCTGTAGGTGTCCCAAGGTCCTATTACATCCAACTGCAAAGACACTTTTACAGGTTTATTACCCGGTGCTGCAAATCTCGTATCCCCAAATCCACGGCCACAAGTAAAGTGGGAGACAGGGGAGTGGGTAGACCAGACATCCGCGCCTATTACACAGCTACACTCCTCAATCATGTCACCGGGGCACAGGACACCAAGACCAAACCCCCGTGGGTGGAGAATGAATCCCACTGGCCTTTGGCAGAAGGGATCTCTTACTTATTTTGGATACCAAAGACCATACGACCAAAAATGCATACCACACTACCCACTAAGTCTGCGATGTTAAGGGCATGAGGTGAACACAAAGACAAGTTCTCCTCCTGGAGTCTGATTTTGCTAACAATGCCAATTTGATGCTTTAAATACTTTATCCCTACTTTTGATAGCATGCGGTAGGAAAATAGGGGACTTAAATTTCACCACCAAATCTGGAGCGGAGAAAACTTGACAGCTTACTCCCAACTCAGATCGAAATATGATCTTCCCCAGACGGGCTATGTTTAATACCTACAATTGAAATCCCTACTGAAGAAAATGAACCAACCTAGATATTCCACCCTGCCCACAGTGCAATCCATGTCCATTATAGAAAAAATGTGCACAGGTACTATACCGAAAAGGAAGGTTATATCAGTTTGCTATGACATGTTACTGTGGGATACCAAACACCCCATGCCTAAGTATACCAAAGAGTGGGGTGTGTATATGTGTGTGTGTATATGTGTGTATATATATATATATATTCTCTATCTATCCATTCATCCATCATCTGAAGAACCATCCTTATTTGAAAGTATAGAGCTTTACAATGTTTTATCAAAGTAACTGACCATATACCATAACTTCTAAAAGTTATAAAGGAGGTGTAAGACTGTAGCTACCATCTCAATACCTCTCATTTAAGTTTAGTACTCCAATTGACTTTTAAAGACTTTATGTGGAAAAGTTTTCTTTTGTTGTTCTTTTGTGTTTAGAATTCTCTTCATGTGTGGGGAAAGGGGATCCCACACGGGTGTTTAACGATAATACCAAGGTAAATTTGGATTGATGTGCCTTGAAGATCAAGGAGCAAATCTTTTAATCCATAGCTGTTGATTCATCTCCTGATTCCTCTTATGTCATCAGCTGTATAAAATATCATGAACAGTTTCTTGAAGGCAAAAAAAAGCTGATCTCATCCTAACTTGATGACATTTCTGAAAGTCTCTCTTGTTGCTTGCCTTGATCTCTTCAACTTTTAACTGGGATAATTTGTGGTCTGTAAATTTCTATAATATTAAATGCATAGATACAGACTGACTTCTCCTTGTAGTTCTGATGTGCAAGGACAGTACAACTTCCATATTCTTGCTTGAGCAGTTGTTTTTTTTTTTTATATACTTACAGTGATAATACTTAGCGGAGGTTTATGAGAAACCTATAGCTGGATGAGATAGCTGACCAGATTGGCACTCTAAAAGCATTTAGAATAAAAAACAAAATATCTGGCATCATGGGGGTAAAAATCTGAATTGAAATAAAAATGGTGATAATTTTCCTTCTAGATTTATTCTTATAGTTTGTGCATGCATGAGACTTCAGCAGTGACATTAGCGCTTCAGCTCCAGGAGCCAATCTTTTAACCTCTTTTTATAATAAAGGAATAAACGTGCTTGAATATGTTGTACAAAATTAAAAACGCATTGGTTTCAAGTACTAGTAGTAGTAGTAGTAGTAGTAGTCTGATTTTCCTAATGGCAGTTTGTTGTGTGTGTTTTTTAGTTACTCGTCTGAAATATTTACTGGTATATTAAGATGAATTGACATCATCTTTATTCAAATTACCCATTCAAATACTCTGCATTCTTTCTATTCTCCCTTTGGGGTCTATCGTGAGCTATGCATGCATTACAGTGGAGCGTTTTTGAAGGGGAATTCACAGGTTTATTGATAATGCTGTATGCGTGATTAAAGTAAGCAGTGAAGCAGAAGGAAAATCCCTGCTGCCCACCTTTTTAGTGTCACATTTTCTGATTTTAGCATGCTTGTTTTAAATTCTGTAATTCACTCGAACCACATGGCATCTGATCTGAACTCTGAGACTGTTTCAGATCGCTACCTACACACTGCACATGGTGTTTTTATGTTATTTGACATTGACTTGAATTAATATCACAGGAAAACCTGCACTTTCATAGACTAGATTGACGTCACATTTAACTAATAATGATAAGCTGACATTTATTATTACTTTTTAGAGGGTGTTCAACACCTTGCTATCAAAGAGGACAACTCAACATTCATTTAACTTCTTTCAAATCAGTTAATAAGTAAAGCAGAAACAATTCTAACCAGTGAAGGAACATTTAATTTTTTCTATTCGTTATTTTATGTAACTGTCTTATACTTACTCTGCTTGTTTCTCATGCTTCGATCGTTCATGACTGGTTGCTAATACATAAATTGTTTTTTACTGGAGTAGAAAGCAAGGAACTTGGAAGATGTTTTTTTTTCTTATGTACTAAAAATATCCTAATTGTCAAGCTACAGTTCCCTTCTGCATGTGCTGAGTCACATTCCTTACTTTAAGGGATTCTGATTATGTTTGCTTCTTTTTAGAAGCTTAACAGCCACCCTAGGAAGGAATGGAGACTGCACAGTAGTGCTATTTTAATATTTTGTGGGACTGTGTCCTGCCCTTGGTGGCATCCATGAGGGCTGTTTTCATCTCCTGTCAGGACAATCCTGGCTAAGCCACAGAGGAGTTCTGATTTGAAGGCTTCTTAACTCATTACTGCTGTAGTTGCATGTTTCTTCTTCCTTTTTTTGTATATAATGTGTCTCACATCTTTCTCATTAAACCCTCTAAGGTGGAAATATAATTTCGACAATAGTACTTCAGCATTCTTTATTTCAATTTAACACTTTTTTTTGCAGAAATTTGTTTTTGTTTGACACATGTCAATTTATTTTGCTGTACTTTTGTGTACACAGCTGTTTAGCTATGCAATGTACAAACAAAAAAATTTAATTTACAAAAAAGAAAATGTTTGAAAATAACATAGAAGCATCCAATGTTATAGTGATGTCTACAGGAACATGGGAGTGACAAAGATCTCAACCATTCATCGTCCTCCAATTCCCACCCCTAGCTGATGTATAAGCAGACCTGCCAGTTCTCAGTTTTACCAAAAATTACCCTTATATTGCATTTGAATTTATACTGAAATGTCAGAGCTGTTAGATGATATACATTTGAAAAAATGTGGGCTACTACATAGTATGCACGGCTCCAAAAATTGAAGATCTGACTTTGCATGGTCATATTTCAGTCTGGACTTCTCTCGATTGAGCTTTTCTTAGTCTTGTTTTTAATTATTTTTTTTATGTATTTTTTTTTTATATTAAAATCTTAATTGAATATTTTCAAAAGTGGGTAAAGGGTACCAAACAAAAGGAAAGGGAGGAAGGGGTAATATCAAGGCATCACAATCTGGTTGTGTAAATCTTTTACGTTGTATAGTGCATCAAACAACACTTACACAGTGGTTTTCCGATTTCAACCTGTCAAGTAAACTTGATTCACTTACAACATATGCAAAGTATTAATCGTCCACTAAAAGAAGGAAAGATGGGAGATATACTGGCGCTTCAGCAAAACCTCACACATCCAAGCCCTGTCCCATTCTTCATGCTTTCTATATCATAAATTAGGTTGTCATTGGTTATTTTGGTGTAGGTAAACCATAAGCTTGAATTTAATACATATGGTAAGGTCAGGAATTCTTTACACAGAAGCTACTGAATGAAACCCTCTGGGCTAAACCACACTTCTTCCTATTTACATATGAATCATTTCTGCCTTGTTAGATGTGAGGTGTCATTGGTTGTCAGATGCCTGACTGAAATCCTATGGGCCTACAGTTTTCATATATCACTATATCCGTATGTAGGACTTTCATTTACAGAACGGCATAAAGAGGAATGGAAACACATTACTAAAAATATGTGACATTTTGAAATTACTGTAGACATTCCCATGGCTCTGAACTCTGCTTTTGTTTCTCTTTTGAAAGTACTTTTTATTTGTGTAAACAAAAAAAATATATATATTTTTTTTTTTTTTTAACTGTATGGATAGATACGCCATCCAGGCATTTTACAATTGTGCATCTGTTTAAAAAAAACCAAAATCTTATTTTATTCTTCAATGGATACGTTTATCAAAATATCAATTCTGAATTTGACTCAGATTTTTCCTAAATGTCTTTGCAAACTAGCCCCGATATGCTTCAGTGCTATCAGTTCTTCAGATAATTTCAAAATTCAGAATAGTCAGGTGTTTAAATAGAAACACCTGAAGCCGCCGTGTTTGTAGATGGCAATCAAAATGGCTGATACTCTCATTTGTAAATAAGAACGCGCCTTCAGGTATCCATCATACTTTTAGAACACCATGCCCAGTACATTGTAAAAACAGATTTCTCGCAGATATCATTTTAGCATTTTATCTGCAGAAATCTATTATTTTCAATTTCCTCCGTGATTGGTGTACGTCCCCACATCATTCACCCATTTGTAGATAATATATCATCTTTCACTGCACAAGTTCGGTTGAGCAGCAGTTGGTCAGATAGCAGTAGAGTCTGACCCAACATAGCTGCTCAGCCAGATAAATATGTGCATTTTTTTTGTTAAATAACAAAAAAAAAAAACAACAAAAAACAATATACATAATAAAAAAAAAATAAATAAAAGTGAAAATGTAATACATTGGCTTTGAAAATGTATGGTGGTTTTATGCATTGTTGATGGGTGTAAACACTTTACACTATATAAAATAACTCTTCTGAAGTTCCTGAGCTTTCTAGATGCAAAGCAACATCGTGCCTTACAAAGTGTAAATATTTTGAATCTCTTATCAGACTCTCTGTAGCGTTGCTTCCTTGAATGAAAGGTCTTTACCTTCACACCGTGCGTAGTTTATAGTGTGGTTAACATTAGTAATACTTTGTTTGTTTGCCTTTGCAGGTTACCTTATTTACAACTCCCTAGTTCAACCATTAATTGGAATAAGCTGTAAAAAAGTTGTTTTCCCTCTGGGTGTTTCTTTTTAGAATAGCTGCTATGTGGTATAAAACCTGGCATAGTTCCAGGTATCGAGAATCTTATCAACGTGTGCCGAAATCTGATTCACATTGCAATTACATAATGTCATTCACTTTACAACAGGGCTGGTCAGAAGGAAGATACCCAACAAATAATGAATATAAGGGGTGGGGGGACTAGTTAAAAAAAAAAAAAAAAAAGGATTGCTTCCATCTGAAACCCCTGCTATCATGAATATTAGAAGTTTTTAAAAGGGGCGCATCTTCACTTTATACCCAGTCATTTGTGAGGAATTTTGTTTTTTTTTTCTTATGCTCTGTGCGCACTTCACTTTTATGTTGTGATGATGTTGGTGAAAGAGGCAAACCGTTTTATAGCAAGAAATGTGCTTTCAGTGCTGCTCTAGTGTAATTAAAATTGAAAACATAGCGGATGTACTTGCAGGTGATGCTTATTTGGGAGATAATAAATTGCATCATTTTCTGTTGCTTTGAGTTTTAGGCAACTGTTGGTTTTAGACTCCATGAATTTAAATTTGTAATCTACAATTCCCTTTTCCCATACGTTTCATTCCTTCTAAGTTTTAGAAATCAAATTGAACTGTGTTGCATTTTGTTTGTGTTGGTTCTTTTTTTTATATATATTTTATATTTTTTTTATTTATTTTTTTATTATATCAAATGTTTTATTTTGTTGTGAACAGAAAAGAGAAAATATCATCATGTTATCATGAGACTTGCAGGTCCCTGAAGCTTTAGGAAGCATTTGGTCGCACAAAACCATACCAGTAATTGCGTAAGGAAGTTATGTGAATTGTATATGTCTAATCATGGTTTACACTTCAGTAACCGTATTTCAAATGTTGTTGTTGTTAATTAAAGAGAATATTAGTTAAAACAGAGAAAAACAGGTACGGAGAAACATAATCGTCTGTTGTTCTTCCCAGCTTGTGTTGGTTCTCTAATGTTAGACCAGTGTATCAATAATAAAGTGAATATCAATCAGAAAGGGTTTCTACTGGCACCAGTCTAAAACATAACTTTGACAGCTTTTTTATTTTTGAAAGTTTAGAAATGTGGCCCTCTTTTTAATGTCTGGGTGCTACTGTTGAATCACATTATACTTAACTAGAGGAGAAAATAGTGCATTCCTGAATCTTGCTTTCAAATACAAAGCATTTAGTATTAGTCATCAAATAACAATCACAGCAATGTTTTGGTACGGTACAAAGGCCTTTTAATAGGCAGGTATATATTTTTTTTCTCATTATTTCCTACAATCAAACATGCAACTAAAACCTGCTCAATATAAACCAAATAGAATCACTACTACCTTTGTGCATCCCCACAAGTATACACCACTGTAAACCATCAATAAAAAAAATAATAATATTGTGTGGATCGTTGCAGTCAAATATTAGGAATTTACACCAAATTTTTAGATCTTTAATTCCTCTTCAAATTAATTAAAATGTGTGAATGCCATGTGATTAAAATTGTTCTGGTTAGAAGTGCATGCAATGTTAAACAATCCAACAAGCAAAAAAGTAATTTGTGTGTTTAATCACTATTTAATCAAATATTCCTTGCAGCAACATACATAAAAAGGAACAAACACAATTGTGTAATAGTATTTGTTTCTTAAATTTTTTTTGTTAAACTTTTTTTTTTTTTTTTTCGGTTTTTGAGATCACACTGTATGTTCTAATCATTATGACAACTTATCTTTTTATCCTGCTTTTTTTTCCTTACGCCAAAATATAAACTTTGGTTGGCTAGGTGAATGTGTACATATTATTGCTAAGTGATGCATTAATAGTGATCTCATCGAACTGTGTGTGTACCTTCCAGTTTTTTGTGAATTATTCTCTTTTCAACTGATACTTGTTCCGGTAAAAAATGTTGATTCTAGACTCGCATTTGTGGCTACTTTCTGTTTCTTACAGATATAACCCACATATTTGTAACTGAAGCACAAGGCAAAGGAGGAAGTGTATTACACTACTAGTCTTGTGTTTCTTCTCGTTTAAACTAAAATGAAGAGTTTTTTTTATTTTTAGAAAATGGTTATGGCGTTACCATTTTTAATCTCCATTACAGGAAGTCTAGTTTCTGGAATTCACCATAATTTTCTTACTCAATAGGGAAGTAGTGTTTTTGTGAATTATAATTTAAGCTTTTATTGTGTACATGTTGTGTACATGTTCTGCCTTATGTTCTGCCTTATACGATATAAAGATACAGTGCCGATATCACAGGACTATAAAGGCATATATGATAAAAATAACAATACAGAAGTTCTTTCTGGTCTTTTTTTTTTTGGTCTCCTTGTAATGTGTATGCCCTGGTAATTATTATTATTTATTTTTTTAAAACTGGCAGTCTCTTCTATCATCTGGGACCAAATTAGTAGCTTCAAACTGGGTAAGCTGTGTGCCGTGCTACAGTGAGCATTACAAACCGCTCTTTATATTACTGTGGCCAAAGTTTTGCGTTCACTAGGCTGCACGGTGTCATCAGATGTGATCAAGGCTTATTTTATGCTCCAACAGCTTGATCACATTAGCAGACATTTTTGACAACATTGCCAAATGAAAAGTGTCAGTATGGCATAATGTATTTACTTTAGCGTATTTTTAAAACTATAGGGGACAGGTTTTTATTTAATTTTTACCACTAAATGTGGGGTACACAATATGCTAGAGTCCTGAACACCAGGGAGCGCTGTCTCTCTCCTCCTTGGTCAAATATAAAATGCAGGAAGTGGGGATTATACTTCAGTAAAAATACATAAATACCAAACCCCTCTCACCCTCCCTACACAACTATTATTATTATTATTATTATTATTATTATTATTATTATTTTGATATTTATAGAGCGCCATCAAATTCTGCAGCACTTTACAATGGGTGGACGAACAGACATGTAGTTGTAGCCAGACAAGTTGGACACACAGGAACAGAGGGGTTGAGGGCCCTGCTCAATGAGCTTACATGCTAGAGGGAGTGGGGTAAAATGACACAAAAAGGTAAGGATAGTATTAGACTAGTGACAGTTGCTATTAACAACTATTAACAATTTAATTGATACGCTTTTATGAAGAAGTGGGTTTTTAACGATTTTTTTGAAGGAGTGGAGACTGGGTGAGCATCTAACGGAGGAGGGAAGCGAGTTCCACAGGAACTGTGCAGCTCTCGAGAAATCTTGAAGGCGAGCATCAGAGGTGGGAGTACGGACAGAAGATAGATGTAAGTCTTCAGCAGATCGTAAGGGCCTAGACGGGACATACTTGTGTATAAGGGAGGATAGATAGGTGGGAGCAGCATTATGTAGAGATTTGAAAGCAAGAACCAGATTTTTAAATTGAGCTCTATATTTTATAGGAAGCCAATGTAGGGACTGACAGAAGGGTGAGGCATGGGAGGTGCGGGCGGACAGGAAGATGAGCCTCGCCGCCGCATTCGTTATTGACTGTAACGGCGCAAGTAAGACCACTGAGAAGAGGATTACAGTAGTCAAGACGAGAAAGGACAGTGGAATGGACCAACACCTTAGTCGCATCTGGCGTTAAGTAGGGACGGATGCACGCAATGTTTTTGAGATGGAAATGACAGGATTTGGCGATAGATTGAACATGAGGCTTGAAGGAGAGGTCGGAGTCAAAGAGAACACCTAGGCAGCAAGCCTGCGTGGTGGAGCTGATGGTAGCACCGTTGACTTGGAGGGAGACAGACACAGGAGTAACAACACTTGAGGGAGGAAAGACCCGAATTTCAGTTTTGGTCAAGTTTAGTTTAAGGAAGTGGGCAGCCATCCAGTTAGAAACAGCAGCGAGGCAGTCAGAGACACTAGTCAAGAGGGACAGGGAGAGATCAGGAGAGGACAGGTAGATTTGCGTGTCATCTGCATAGAAATGATATTGGAAGCCAAAGGAGCTAATGAGTTTACCAATGGAGATAGTATAAATGGAGAACAGTAGGGGACCAAGGACTGAACCTTGGTGGACACCAACAGAGAGGAGTTGGGGAGAAGAAGCAGAGCCAGAGAAAAAAACACTTAAAGAGCGCTGGGATAGGTAGGAGGAGCACCAGGAGAGAGCAATATCTTGTAGACCGATATTGCGGAGGATGAGAAGAAGCTGTTGATGATCAACAGTGTCAAAAGCCACAGACAGGTCAAGGAGAATTAGGATAGAGTAGTGACTACAAGATTTTGCAGCGAGTAGATCATTGGATATTTTGGTCAGTGCCGTTTCCACAGAGTGCTTAGTGCGGAAACCAGACTGAAGCGGTCTATCAGAGAGTTGGACTCGAGGACGTCTGTCAATCTCGTATACACAATTTTTTACAATAGAGCTCCTTCCTGCCCCACCACATAAATTCACACTCAATGCATCCACTATACACACAAATTATATTCACTGAACACACACTACATCCCCTACAAATGTAATGCACATTTCCTAAACACTCACAATAAATGCCATATGCCCAAATTCAGTACATCTCCTATACCCACACATGCTGCAGCCCATATATAAGATAACGTTTATAGTAATTTGTGCATTGGTGTTATGGGGAAGGCCTAATGCGTGCTGGTATCGTCGGAGAAGTGCTCCAGCCACACTGAAATTGGTTAAGTGATAAAATAGTTATTTAACCTTTTACTTTTCGCTGTGGGGGCTGCAGAGCAACACTATAGTATTCCTTTAATTAAGATGGGTGGGGCAGAGCAACACTGTAGAATTCCTTTAATTAATAAGCCTGAAACAACACTTTTATTAGCTTTTGTATCTAAGTAACGCATTTAAAGCATTCGGTATGCAGAGTAAAGAAACATTTTCTATTTTTAATATCCATTTATTATTTATTTATTTGTGTAGTACACTTCCCTGTCCTGTCTGACCTTATCAAAAAAGAAACTGGAAGAACTGTCTTTTCCTGTTTCTTTGATGTGTAGATCTTTGTGTCCTCATTTACTCACGCACAATTGGTGTCTCATGACTGAATTAATCAACATCCAACTTAACAGGTCACATGTCATCCAGAATAGGAAGCTGTTCATAGCCTAATGACAAATTCCATAGATAATAACTTTGAGCTTCTTTCGCCTATGTTGGGTGCGACCTACATATACTTCTGGCTGTGTAGTAATCATTATTGAGGAACTCACTAGATTTGTCAGTACAGTGTGTTTATTTGCTCAATTCATCAAGTAAATGACATAATTTTCATGTGACTGGCATACCAATATATTTTGTAACATCTTAATCATTGCTGTCTAATTTTAAGGTCCATGAGTAGAATGTAATCTGTGCTGTTGTGATCCAATAGTACTGGTTTAATTTTAAGGTACCAGGAGATTTGAAATAAAAAAAAAAAAAATAATCAAACAAATCTCACAAACAGATATCATCTTCTATTGATTAAAGGAAAAAAAGTTACCTACGCTCTCTCCTTATTCCCTATGTATATTTAAACAAATGGAGGTCATTTAGTTAGACGGGTCCTACTCTGACCCCTCACCTTGTTTCCTTGAGCTTTTGGCAAAGATATCTCTAATGAGACAGAAAGGGGTATTTTTTATATATACCCCTCTATACTTATTAACCTTTAATAGGAAACACATGGGATGGGTGGCAGCATTGTAACCTAGCTGTGTGATACAAATAGTGATTTCAAATACAAAAAGAAAAGTCCTGCGCTCACTCCCATCACTCCTGGGCAGGACTTTTCTTTTTGTATTTATCGTCTATTGATTGATATTTTTTTTTCTGGAGCAAGTAAAAAAAAAAATAATAATAATTGTGTATGTATGTGTCTATACGTGTGTGTGTGTGTGTATTGTAATTCTGGCATTATACTATAGAGATACAGTATGTTCATGTTCATTATTGATACAGCAATAAAAATTTTTATATTTATAATACTTACTGCTGATTGTGTTGTTGTGATGCTAGGAAGCTGTGGGCCCTATTTGCTTTTAAGTGCTATAGTGAGGAAATCGTGCTTCCTCATTAGGTTCTTGTACAATGTGGACACCTCATTCTTTTCATTGTTGTCTCAAGCCCCTGGTAACACTGTGTTCCAAGAACTTGGATGGGCAAAGGAGAAGTGAGAGTTTGTCAAACTGATCGAAAGTGGTTTAACAAATATAAATATACGGGAATGCATCCCTTGCATTCTAGTGCTACAGTACAATCTATACTGATTGTGCTACAATGTCAGAATGCTGTATGCTTAAAAATAACAATCACATTAAAGGAACCCTGTAGTAGATAATTTACTGCAAACCAATTAGTTTGAATGACTATCTGTTCCTGTCCGAATTAAAGATAATAAAGTTGCGTGCACGCAGAAGTAAATTCACACTGAGACACAAGGTTCAGGGTAATGAAAGAACTTCAGAGAAGTTTAATGGCTTCTGACAGAAAATGGGTGCGCAGACCCTTTTAAAGGCATTATTACATCATTGAAGAAAATCAAGATATAGACAAATAGACATTGTTAATTGGCTTAGGTGCTAAGATGTTAGTAAAATGCCCTCCCTATGGGGTGTACCATCTTAAGTCACTATCTACGTCATGCTTTTCTCCCCCAGGTTTTAGCGCCATTTTGCTAACATGAGGAGCTCACTCGACGGGAGGGGCCTTTTGGCAGCTATCCATTTAGAGCGTAACTGGCACTTGTTACTTTCTCAAGGCTAGGTTTCAAGGCTTTTAGTAAATACACATTTTATCAAAGCTATTTCTTGCTGACATGCAAATTCTATGTTCTATAGACAAAGCTTTCTTGTAAAACTATGGGGGCCTCTTAGAGGTATAGCAAGAGGATTTAAAGGGGCCTTACAGATTTATAGAGGCCTAATAATTCTACAACAACCCTACAAGTATTATATTCCCTACTCTACCGCTGTTCCCTGTCATTCCCTCTGTGTAAGGAATAAGATCCCATTTTTGGCCATTTAGGCTTCACTGATTGCAACTACTACTCATCAGCTACACAATTAGCAGGCTGTCTTAGACAATGAGCCAACGCTTTTTTACAGTTCTTCGGTAGTAGTAGTAATGTAGATGTAGATCGGGCCATGCGCACTGTGTTAAATGTCAAACTGTTCAAAAACAATTTGATTTTGTACACTCAATTGGCAATCATTACACTCCTTACAGATAACCTATTGTCACTTTCTGTATAGAGATTTTTTTTTATTTAAATGCTATTATTATTATTATTATTGAACAGTATTAATGCTGATGGGTTTGTCAAGCATATATTTCCTTAGTTGTTGTTTTTTTTTTCATAAAATAACATGACTTTTTTCTTATTTGTAGATTATTAATCTAATCAATTTCATTTCTAAATGTTCTATTATTGGAATACTGATAAATTGCATTCTTAGGGCCTTTAAAAAATGTATTTATACAAAAGAATTCCTTATTGTCAACCCCTTCTTTGTCAACAACCCCTTACATTGTCAACCCCTTCTTTTGTCAAAAGGAAATCCTAGTTTAACAAAAAGTATTACTTATTCCATTAAGCACAGCTGCAGAACCTGTTGACATTTTCTTAATGAAGCACTAACAAATTGGCAATAATTCTTTAATTCGCTTCAGGACAAGCAGATAATCAAATCCTGTGATTTCATGGCAGTAGTATCATTATTTGCCATGAAGTGGTTAATGTGCACATACAAAGATGACTGTTTTCTGTTTGTGGGATAATGGATACCTGGCTGTTTGTGAATGCAGTCATGTGCTTGATGTTGTGAAACCCATGGACAAGAGGTTTGCAGAGTGTGTATTTTTATACACTGACCAACAATGTAATACATTTAATCTAATATCCCAGTCATGCGGAGAGATAATAATTTCATTGTTTCAATTGTTTACAGTTATTATTTGAGATGTTCTATTGATAGTCCATATAGGACTGCTAAATTAGTTTTGTAATGTTAACTATACATTTTCTTACAATGTGCAAATATATGATTTTTCATATATAGGAAGATAACTCGCCCAAATGATTAAAGTAAAATTATTCTGACGTTATACTAAAGAGATACAGTGCTTTAAAGTTCATTATCATTGACACAGTAAGAACATGTCTTGTTCTTTTTCAGTAATAAAATGCCTTCCTATTTACACAGGCATGGCTTTTAAAGATAGTGGCAAACAGTACTTTGGCATAAACTCGTATTATTAAACTTGATCCAGTCACAAGTGTAAGCCCGTCATACACACAAGAAGCCAAAGCAGGTTAATTTGTTAATATTAATAGCAGTTGACATCTCATGGTACAAATTTCATCCACATAACTTGGTGATCATGGATTTAGATGCATCTTATGTAAAATCTCTGGAATAGAATCACTGTGTCAAAAAAGGAAATTTGCTATGTATGAATTTGCTATGTATCCTTATGGAATTTTATGTACTTTTTCTTCCCTGAGTTGTCTTGAGATGTGAATATTCCATTTCACCACAATTCACTTTTTTGTAAAAAAAAATAAAATAAAAAATAAAAACTTAGTACAACTCAACAGGTAGTTCAAACATTTTCAATAATGCTCCATGGAAAACATTACTTATTCTACATTGGGAAAAGTGAATCAGATTTGTCCATACAGAGCGGTTACGGAAGCTCTCTTGCATGGGCAGTCTGTGTGATTAAATGTAATGAAATGCTTGCTTAATTTACTCTAATTCTTCTAATTACACCAGCACACAAAAGAATTTCAGAATAAATCTAGTTAATTAAATTAACCAAATTGGGCACAAACGTGTTGTAACACCCACTTATTTGTTATGTGCTATCATAATGTTTGAATCTAAATAAGATGAATGTCCATATTTAATAATGGCGATTGTGATAAATTCTAGAAAATAATGCATATAAAATGTTAATGTTTAATAGATATATGGCAACAAATTATAAAATAACTCAAAATACAATAAATGAACAAAAATACAACAGTCAAACTACTATTATATAACAATAACATTTCTTCTTGTATGTGCCCCTCCTTCTCTGTTAAGAAACCAACAAAACTCTGATAGACTGACAGTGGAGGCAGTCTTACTCCTGCAAAGTAATCATTGCAGTTCCTAAAAGGTGTAATGTTTTATATTTAAGGATTATGTGAGAAAGGGAAGGATAAAGTGGTCTGGGTGCCCATAGTGTCCCTTTAAAGGAACACTATAGGGTCAGGAACACATACATTTATTCCTGACCCTATAGTGTTAAAACCACAATCTAGCCCCCCATGGCCCTTCATGCCTCCCTAAATATAGCAAAATCTTACTTGTATTCAAGCCTGAAGCTGTAAATCTGCATGCTTTTTGCCTCAAAATAGCAAGCTATCTGCTGCCATCATCAGAAGTGGCGGCCTGATCCAATCACAGTGCTTCCCCATAGGATTGGCTGAGACTGACAAGGAGACAGAGCAGGGGCAGAGTCAGCACAATTCAAACACAGCCCTGGCCAATCAGCATCTCCTCATAGAGATGCATTGAATCAATGAATCTCTATGAGGAAAGTTCAGTGTCTGCATGCAGAGGGAGGAGACACTGAATGTTTGGATGCATTTTAGTCAGCTATGAACCAGCCATCTAAGCCATCTAAGGAGTGACCAGTGAAGTTATCACTAGGCTGTAATGTAAACACTGCATTTTCTCTGAAAAGACTGTCCTTACAGCAAAAAGCCTGAAGGTAATCATTCTACTCACCAGAACAAATTCAGTAAGCTGTAGTTGTTCTGGTGGCTATAGTGTCCCTTTAAATTACAGGTTGTTAGAATGTATTAAGTTGTAAAATTATACATTTTTAGATGAGGAATAGCCTAAGGTAAGGATATAGGCTTGCATGGGTGGGAAGTGCAAGCTAAGATAGCAGTAGGATTCTAACTGAAAAATGCAGAGCAATGATGAATGGTGTTTTAAAGAAGCCGCAACATTTATTTAACATGTAAGGTGAATGGAAGATTGTGATGGAAGGCAAAAAGTTGCTATTGTTTACTTTTGAAAAGGTCTCAGAAGGTATATGATAACATTCTACAAACATACTGTATATAAGGACAGTACAAACTGCTTTCTGGTGACTTATTTATTAAGAACATTGTACAAACTACAATACGTCATCCATTGAGATTTGAAGAAAGGGGATTTCACGTCCGAAGTAGGCAAGGATTCTTTACAGTAGAAAAACAAACCAAAAAAAAAAACCCTAAACTCTGACTAAAGATGATGTTTTATCAGTTTTTTTCTTTTTCAAAGCAGGTTATTCAGTTATTCTAGCAAGTATGTTTTGACAGCTTGTTGATCCAGAGATAAATCCGTTCTCAAAAAGTTTTTTTTTTATTTATTTAAAAATGAATACCCACTGTAGCCCCTACAAATTTACTGTGTGTGTGTTACTGTATGGTATAAATATGTTTGTGTATGTATATAATATATATATTTTTTAAATTTCTGGTATTTTAATTAAGATTGTTGCTATTTCAGAGCTAGCTGATATCTTTAAAATACTTGTGGAGGACAAGAGAAATGTGCTTGATTTGTGAAGCTGTAAAAACACTGCCACATGTTTCCCTCGGCATACCAAGAGAAATGTCCCATTGTCTTTCAGTGCCAGCTGGTATTATGTATATTTGTTTTTTGGCCAGTGGCTCATTTTGAGTTTTACAGCAGAGTAATGGGAAAACAAATTGCAATAATCTAGGACATCTTTTACTTGTTCAGTAAATAAAAGCACATCATTTCCCAATTTAGACTCTGGGCTTCACTAAGCTCAGGACACATTGTAGGACTCTATTTATATGCCTCTTCAGTGAGTGCTGAAAAACATGTCCTGCTTGTAAATTCTTCAAAAAAATCAATAAATGTCTACTTTTTATTAAAATACAAGGTCACTGACAGTTACCATAAAACTGCAATATTGACAAGTGTATTCTATCCAAATTTCCAAATTCCCTCCTAATATTATGATTACTTATCCACAATAGAAATCTACAGCTTAAAGGACCACTCTAGGCACCCAGACCACTTCAGCTTTATGAAGTGGTCTGGGTGCCAGGTACCTCTAGGATTAACCCTTTTTTTTTTTATAAACATAGCAGTTTCAAAGAAACTGCTATGTTTATACTGAGGGTTAATCCAGCCTACAGAGCCTCTAGTGGCTGTCTCATTGACAGCCGCTAGAGGCGCTTGCGTGCTTCTCACTGTGAAAATCACAGTGAGAAGACGCCAGCGTCCATAGGAAAGCATTGTAAATGCTTTCCTATGCGACCGGCTGAATGCGCGCGCGGCTCCTGCCGCGCATTCAGCCGATGACGTCGCGAGCAAGGAGAAGAGGAGGAGTACAGCTCCCCGCCCGGCGCTGGAGAAAGGTAAGTGTTTAACCCCTTCCTCTCCCCAGAGCCTGGCGGGAGGGGGTCCCTGAGGGTGGGGGCACCCTCAGGGCACTATAGTGCCAGGAAAACGAGTAGGTTTTCCTGGCACTATAGTGGTCCTTTAATATAGCCCAAAAATACTCTTCATGGGTATTACAGCTGCAACATAGGATAAGATTTTCAATGACTTAATATTGTTGGATGAACTTTTACATTTACCATTTTAATGATTGTCAGTTAAAGTGCAATTGTAACATAAGTGGAGGTATATATCCTGATGCAATCTGTTCTATTGTAAACCATAATATATGCATTCCTTTACTAGAAAATTATTGCGTGTCTTTCCACAAAAATAATTGAACTGGGAAAGTAGCAGATATTCTGTATTAAGCCATTTTGCATGTCTACCTAAAACAACGCATCTTTAACTTGTACAGAATGAAGATCTGCATATTGGTCTGTGTTTACAATACTTTAATTTGTTGTACTAACATCATGTCTCACAAAGTGGCTTTTATAATTACCTTTTTATTTATTTTTATTAATTATTTTTACTACACGGCTATTTAAAAAAAATGTGGTTTGTAGTTCACAGGAAGGACTTGCTCAACTGTGCATTTAGAAAAGACTATTTCGCAGTAAATGGTGACATAATGCCATTGCCTGATCAGGTGAAATTAAAAGAATTTGCTTTTTTTTTTTTCTTTCTGTGACTCCATTCAGTGTTTTGATGATGCTCTGTGATTGTCATGAGGGTAGGCTAGAATAGTGGTGGGGTGTATAACTCCGTCACTCTGCTTTCTCCTGTATTCTTACTGTATATCTTGTGGCTTTACCAAAATTACAGCGCCTATATAAACAGCAAGACTTCCTCTTTTTCTAGCAAGCAGGGATAGAGGTCAGAGCATCATGTGATTGCAATGCTCTATCTGTATCACATTAGAATGTGGTCGAATACAATTTCAAGCAGTTCCATGTGAGGATTTGTTCTTGTGAAAAAAAAATGAGTTTCATGTCGTGAGTGGTTGCCTAATCTAGTGGGGTTACTCTTGTTCGCTGCCAAACCAATCATCACCATACATGCACAAAATATGAATCTAATGGTGCTCAAGTAGAAGGCATTATTATCATTAATAATGTTAACATAGCATTATGTTAAAATTTGTTAGACACAGGCAACTATAAAGTGTTTGTCTAGCCTAGGGTGCTGTTAAATAAACACTATATGCTGGAGCTGACTTTTCATTTTTGTATTTGCTTAAAATCCACTTGTTTTAATCTTCTGCACTGAGCCGTCACCCAAGCCAGGATGTAGTTTAGAAAATCTCTCTGCTCCCTTAGTGTATTTTCTTATGTTTTTTTTTTTATATAAGATTACCTTGTAAATCTTATTCACCATCTTCTTAAACACCTCACACATCCATAGACCATGGATGTTGCAAGGTTTTATGGGAGTTGTAGTTCAGCTCTATTGATAATTCAATGCAGCACTTTTAAACCAATGTACATTTTTTTGCATTTTATTAAATGATGAAATTAAAAAAACAAAAAAAATAGTCTGCAGGTACGGAGCTAAAGGAGTGAGTTAAAACACAATGGTAAAATGAACTCACACAGCAGAACTGTTACCTAGTTTATCTGTGTGGGTGTATGTAATACCCCTTTAATTCCTAGCACATGTTATATTGCATTCAATGTGCAGCTTAAATGTCAGAATAACCTTTTTATTATTCTTATTTTTAAATGTGGGAAATAAAGACACAAGTTCAAATCTTCGTAAATTGATGGTGAGGAAAACGAGTCGTACAATACCCCCCCGGTATTGTGCTACTTAGTAACTGTATTCTGACAGCTGCCTTGTCTAATTTATAGCTGCACTTCATTAATTGAAAGCATCTCTGGGATTGGTTGGCACATGTGCTGCAGATCCAGGTGGCAAGCACTGACAGTTCCATGTCACATGATGGCTGTTAGTGCCTCCTTCACCATTAGTCTGGATCACAGCTTTGCACACAGGAATCCTGCCGCTCCCAAGAATGTCACCTCGGGTGGTGCAGAATAGGCAGCAGGGACAGAATTACAGCAAAGGCATCTTCATTTTGCAGCCCCCCCTCCTCCCTTCGTGTTTTGCTGTCTGACACTTTTTGGCTGAAGAGGTGCACAGCCACAGTTGCCAAGAGACCGTAGTCAGGTGGTTGAAGACATATGAGCTTTATTTAAGAAGAGAGATAAACTTGCCTGGCGCACAGAACTGTCATCGTAGAGTCCCCATCACTGATAATTAGTCTCTGGGTGGCCACTCTTTTTGCCATAGAAGAGAGCAAACGCCACAGTGTTTTAAAGGAGAGCAGGACTGTTTTGCAGCCTCTTAAGATTCAAAGCTGGTTAAATGGATCCTGATGCAAAAGCACAGACTTTGCCTTTGGCAGCCGAAAGCTCAGAGGTGGCTATTCTGGTGTGGCTAGTACTAGCCAGTTTGAAACACAGCATGGACAGTGTATTATCCCAATTACATCTCTCCATGCATCACCTGACAGCCCTGTGCTTTGAGCTGAGCATGGTTTATTGCTATTTTTAACAGCTGGGTGGGCCTGTGCGCTTTTCTCCCAGAGACTCTTACTATCTCTTTCTCTTTTATTTGTTTGTTTATTTTTTTGTTTGTTTTCTTACTTATAAAGAGTTTCTGCAAACGGTAAAGCTGCAGAGAGGAGCAAGATGCAGTCCAGGTACCTGTAAAAGTTACCTAATTCTACTTTTAAAAATGTATTTTCTTGTTCATTGTCTACAATAAACTTTACTTATTTCACTGATCAGATAAACCTTGTATCTCTATTTTTATCTTAATCATTTAAAGAAAAATGTTTATAAATAGTCTGCAGCAGTCTCTGTGTAGGTATTGTGTGGCACAGGTCTAAAACAAATTTACAATGATAAAAAAATTTCTACTGAAATTCATTTGTTCTTCTTACTTTAATGACACATCTTTAATTAAAATAAACATGCTTTTTATTTGCCCTACATATTTATCGCATTTTCTTTCTAAACTTTGAGTTCATATTCCAATTTCCATGTCACTTTCTATATCTATATGGTTTGTGGGGCAAAGTGTAAAAAAGCTGGGTAATTTACATGGAAACAATGGAATTTTCCTTGTGTGTGTTTATTTCCTAACTGCCCAATAATGCTCTCTCTGTCGCTTTCTATTATATAGAGATATATCCATGTATCCATAGGCCCAGTGATGATTTTTTTTTTTTTCCAATCAGAGGAGATTTTGATGAAGCCTTCAAATTAGAAAGAAAACACTTTTTGTTGAGATTTCTTTTGAAATTTAATTTGGGTTGACCTTTTATTTGTGTGTTTGAAATGTACATTATTTCATCTGTAAAATCCAAACTACAGCAAAATGTTTTTAAGTCACCTGTGGCCCTTAAAAACAAATAATAAAATTAAATACAAAAATGTATACATCATCTTTAAACTTTGATGTTCCTCAATCTAGTTGTTTTCTGATATCTTCAAGATTGATGAGTTTTTGTTCAGTCAAATACTTCACCACAATCTGCCAATCCAGTGCTTCTCAATCACAAAACACACACCCAGAATCTGATGTAGGCATACTTAAGATGCTGACGCCTGAAGTAAAATAGTCCATTATTGAATCTTAGTCCAAAACCCCTAGTGTCCGGTTGTCTTGACAGCCACCAGAAGCCTGAAAATTGCAAAATGTACTTTTAATGTTGGATGCATGAACTGTTGATTTTATACAGCGCAAGTACTGATTTCACCAGTCAAAATAGCAGTTTTATTTTTTTTCAACCTTGCATTGACTATGCCATCTCAAAAAATTGCAAAATTTAAATTACTTATTTCTTTATTTTTGCCTGTTGGAGGTGCTATCTTCTGCTTTGTCATGGGCGCCACCACTCACCTAATAAATTGGAGATATAGTGAAAGATAATGCAAATGAGCAATGCCCACTGAGCTGAATATATAATGTAGTGAATGTGTTTGTTTGTGTGTATGTGTGTATATATATGTGTGTGTGTGTGTGTGTATATATATATATTACATATACATATGTGTGTGTGTGCGCTAACATTGTGACAAGCATGCAATTGAGATAAGCTGCTGCTATGTACAAAAATAGACTAACTGCGTACATTTTATAAATAGTTATCTGTGAGAGAGAAATGGTAGTAATGCTTCACGTACCAGTGCTTGGAAAAAAAAAAAAATAGGATACTTGCACATACTTGAAAGTAATTTCGGGGAAATCAATATTTGGTTTCTCTCTTAAAATAAAACTGTTCGCTCCATTCGGGAAATCCTTGACATGTCTCACAGTCTATTATTCTCTGAATCCTCAGTTTACTGAATAACCATGAAAAAGTGAATTTTTAAATTGTATGTCAACAGGGGGGAATATCTAACTTTAAATTGGAAATTCACTTTCAATTCTCACTTTAGCAAATAACCCTCTATGTGTATCTCCCACTCCATTTAGTCCGTCCGATGTTACTATGTGATTGTACTACTATAGCAGCACAAATAATATTCTGGTACTTGCTTATTTGGTTAGTAGTGCATGTCCACTGCTTCCCTGTGGAAGCATTTTGTATGATCATTGTGTATCCTCTTATTATCAGCACTAGAGTCTCTGGAAATACTCCTGGACTTGTCTTTGGATTTCACACATTCATGTTCAATGTTCTATTTAGATAGGGGTATCACCTATTCATGTACTAAAGTGCACATTTATATGGAAAAACCATAAAGGGGTGGTGTGCGGAATTGATACACTGATTCATTTTGGTTAGGTATGGCTTAGAACTGTAATAGAGCTCCTGTAATACCAATGGATACAAGTACTCACCCAGGAAATATTCTAGTAAAGCCTGGTACATCATTTGGGTGAGAATTTGTTTAAAGCCTTGTATGTATGTATGTATGTAAGGCTGCTAGATGTCCACAAATAGTTGGTAATTTTTAGCTACTATGGCTGAAGTTATCATTGGGGGATGTAGTGCAAACAAGGGTGAAATGGTAAAAGCAGTGATTGAGTGAGCAATACCAGTACATTAAACAACATATTTCCCTCCTTACATGGTAAGAACCCATGAGTCATTATATGAGATAAAGTCCCTCTCATCCAGAGAAGATGAGTAAATCTATAATGCAATGGTTCAGCGTGCTTTTTCATCTTTGCCCCCTGTTCTAAAAACTTCAGTTCTGTTTGTATTCCCAGATGGAAGGTGAATTCATTGAAACTCTTACTGAAATAAACAGGGCAACTTCATGCAGATTTTGCAGGTGTGGTGACCTTCCTAAACCAGGTAACAATCACTGTGATAACTGTGCCTATTAGTGCCTGTATCATATGTGGTCATCATTGGACGACCTAAGAGAGCAGAATACTTGGTATGTTGCCAAACAGGATACAGGAGAATCCACTAGGTAGATGTCTACACCTCACTAAGGGATCCTTTCCAACCCATGCACTCCTTGGAAATGCTTGACCTATAGAGGACTTGGTGTTCCTCAATAGGGGAGAGGGGCTATCTTTTCCCATCACCCTTACTGCCAAAGTTTTGTCAGTGGATGTCTGCAGTTCTTTAAGGACACTTGGAGATGGTTTGTCACGTCAACCCAGTTAGCACTACACTTCTCTAGGATTGTTAGCAACATACTGTCCATGACACATTTTTCTCCATCTCATCGTTGTCAGCAGACATAATAAATACAGTGTTACCAGATGCTACTGGAATGGTCAGAGTTAAGGTATGCTGGTGGGAATAGACTTCTGGGGCCTCCATTAAGTCCTATGTATTGGAAGTAGCACAGTACCTAAACCAAGTAATATGGGCACCATGCTGCCAGCATGTACAACTGTAAAGAAGAGGTGCAAGAACCCAGCTAAGCAGAGTTCTAGAGACCTTTATCACTCACATCGGAATACATACTTTGTTACTCAACAGATTTGCAAGCAGAATTTCCTTTGATACTGTTGCTTATTAGCAGCAGTGCCAAGCGGTGTCTGCAGATTTTGAACTCCGCTTCCAGGGTGTTATAGCACAGGCAACTGTACTAATTTTATTTCAAGGTTGTCAAGATAACAAGAGCATATCCCATGTGCTGACAGTCAGTTTTGCCAGGTTGCTGTGTGTAAATGCCACTGGGCATATTAACTTGAATGAATTTGGGGCATTCTGGAAAGTAAATGCATGATGTCACTGCACGACCGTGATGTTAGCAGAGTTACCGCATTGACCAGATCCAAGAGTCCTGATGAAAAATACTTCAAAGATGTTTCCTTGTTAGTGACTACATTACAGGGTGCAAAACATCTAGAGTGACACTGGTTGATATAGCCGGTATTAAAGACGTCGGTCATTAAAATTAACTTTATCAATTTTTTTTTATACATATCTTTATTTTTATTATGTGTAAAGTCGATGGTAAACTTTTAAACAAGCTTAGACTATTAAAATGGTTAAAAATAATAATTTTATGACCATGAATAAAGATTTGTTTGAGATAAATAATCATCACTATCTTTTCTCCACAGTTGGCCTTCTCATGAATTTGATCCAAGCCAGATCCGCCTGATTGTTTCTCAAGACTGTGAGAAACGAGGAAGAAATGTCTTGTTTGACTCCAGCACCAAGCGCAAGACAGATGACTTGTTGGTGTCTGTAAGTTCCATAGAATTTCATTGATTTTTATTATTATTATCTTTTTTTTTTTTTTTTTTTACAATTTTTTATTTTATTTATTTTTTAGAAAACCAACATGAGCAGGGGATGATCATGTAATGTTGGCTAGGCATTCTATTTTGTTCTTGTAAATGTTGTAGTTCCTTTTATTACATACACAGCAGCGTTTGTGCACCTCTGGTCTCATCACAAGGGTCAGCACTTCATTGTATTCAAATTCATTGTACACAGAGACCTTGTATAGTATGTGCTGTAATATGGCATCTAGAAAAAGCTGAGCAAACTTCATAGTTTTAATTTCTATACCTAGTATTCTCCACTCAGCCTTTTATATTTCCATAAAATGCGTAGTAATATGCTGGGTAGATATAGGGAATAACAGAATAGCTTATGTTTGAACCAAGTTGAAGTTCCATTATTATTCCATAGAAAGAGGTTAATTCAAAGTGTGCAAATTAAAGTCTGGTTCATGGTAAGTCCAAAGTAACCTGCAATTTGTTGATGCCAAATTTTATATTCACCAAAAGGATTGTTTTCACGAAGTGATGATTTCTTTATATTTAACACCTAGCCTAGGTTCTAAATTCCACAGACTTCTTTTATATAATGTATATAAGGTGACCATAAAGGTGACCATAAAAAGTGGAAGCTGAAACCGGGCTTGTTTTATATATATATATATATATATATATATATATATATATATATATATATCTCTCAAGCCAAATTTTACCTTTGTTGTATTATTTTTGTGTTTGTGAATAGTGTAATGTACCTTTGTTTCAAACAGCTGTTGTATCCATAAAGGGACACTCCAAATACCATAATCACTTTAGCCAGCTATATAGCTTATAGTATTGGGAGTGTTCTGACACACTCCGAGGACAAGTAGTCGTTATTTGGCAACTTACTTGGTATTTGACCAGCACCCATCACCACCTTTTTTAAGCCAGAAGAGTTTTACATTGAGCTAGCTTAAAGGAACACTATAGTCACCTAAATTACTTTAGCCAAATAAAGCAGTTTTAGTGTATAGATCATTCCTCTGCAATTTCACTGCTCAATTCACTGTCATTTAGGCGTTAAATCACTTTGTTTCTGTTAATGCAGCCCTAGCCACACCTCCCGTGGCTATGATTGACAGAGCCTGCATGAAAAAAAAAATGGTTTCACTTTCAAACAGATGTAATTTACCTTAAATAATTGTATCTCAATCTCTAAATTGAACTTTAATCACATACAGGAGGCTCTTGCAGGGTCTAGCAAGCAAGGGGATAAGAAAATCTTAATTAAACAGAACTTGCAATAAAGAAAGCCTAAATAGGGCTCTCTTCACAGGTGTTTATGGAAGGCTGTGCAAGTCACATGCAGAGAGATGTGACTAGGGTTCATAAACAAAGGGATTTAACTCCTAAATGGCAGAGGATTGAGCAGTGAGGCTGCAGGGGCATGTTCTATACACCAAAACTGCTTCATTAAGCTAAAGTTGTTCAGGTGACTATAGTGTCCCTTTAACGCTGAAGGGCTTAATATTGACTAAGCTCACTCAGCTGTAAGAGCACTGGGACTGGTACCCCTAGTACCTCATGTAGCTTGTCAGATCATTCACAAACTACTTACTTGGGAGGGCATCAGGTCACTGCTTGTACCACAACCATTGCAGTGGGCTTGGAGTGTTCCTTTAATATCGTATGTGTTTTTGCAACTTTGTTTCTGTGTATTGGTCAGTGTTTTAATAAACAGTGCATTATTTTGCTTCTGCCAACATTTTTCTAAAATAACTTCAAAGAATGATAACTATGAGTGTATAGGAGTTTAATATATAGAACACATGGACACTCACTAATGTTCATGTTCAAACATGTTCAAACATTTTTTTTGTGCGTGATTTGTGACTTGGAAGTTGCTGACATATGGTATTCTGAACATGCTGACTGCATCGCAGCTTGAGTTCAGCTATTTTACACTAAAGATCATGTGCCTGGCTGGGAGGCGGAACAGCTATGTGCTTTATGCGTTTGCCTCCAAAGTGGGAGATCACACCTTGTGACCTTGTCAAGACACTTGATCGCCTTGTGCCTGACTTTACTAAATCTACTCTTAAGTGCTTATTTATAACCTAGACTTCATTTCCAGATACTCTGATTATTTGTATCCATCCTTGACTGGTTTGGATTCTTTAGGAGCTATTTTCTGCTCACACAGAGAGCTGTGCATAATATGATGGAAATATATATTTCAGGCAAGCTAATTACTCTTTATAACCTGATAACAAAACTTCTGGAATAAAAGGGAATCATGACATTTCACACATGTCATGTGTCCTTAAGGGGTTAAATGAAAAGGCAGTGTTTACATGTAAATGCCTGAAGGTAGCTATTGTACTTACCAGAACAACTACATTAAGCTGTAGTTGTTTTGGTGACTATAGTGTCCCTTTAAGAAAAGAAATAGCCAAACTGTAGCTTCCGTTTGAACTACTTGAGCTAATATTTTGAGATTCACTTTGAGTTTCTGACAATTTTCAGTTTAGTGAATAACCATGTCAGTGTTATAAATAAATACATTTAGAAAAAAAATTATAACACTTAAGATACTCACATTTTGCCATTCCCAAATTTTGATATAAATTTTGCATTTCAGTGTGTATTGTCTAGACGAGAAAATGCAAAATGCTAGTCAATCTTGATGCTTTCATACCTCTTTGTGGCAGTGCTGTGTTTATTGTATAAGCCCTGTACACACATGGGATATATGGGCTCAATATGTTTGTGAAAGTTATAGTTCAGCTGTTGGCTTTCTGCTGTAGAAAGAGGACAACTGACCCACAGCTCAGGCCAAACTCTGACTGGTCAGCCTCTCAGGATGGCAAAAGTACTTGTATAGGCGATATAGAGAGCGTATAACTGCAGTTACTTAAGGGAAGTTATAAGGTACTATGAGCAGGCAGACAAGACCAGGAAACATCCATACACATAACCTATACAAGAAGCAAAGTGGTTTTGGTGCTAGAAATATACCTCAACTATAATTGGTGCCTGTTATCGATCCGTTTACATTCTTTCTAATTGGAAATCGGTTTCTGGATGTTATAAATGCCTATTTGTGGCCCTTCTCTGTGTCAGGCTCCTAACTGCAAACATTAAGTGGAATCAGGGATCATGGGGGCTTGGTGATTTATGGAGCATTTAATGCAATGTGTGCAGTTCAGTTTGCACCTGCTTAACCCACCAGATGATAAATACAGTCTGTGGGTAAAGCACTTACTACTCATATTTATTATCACAAATTACTTTTTTTTGTTTTTGTTCTCTGCACAAAATCCTAGTTTGACACCGCACCCCGTCCACTTTTTTTATTAATTGAGTTACACTTCAATAACTTGGATTGTTCTGGATTAGCCAAAATTCATAATTTTACCTAGGTTAAGTGATCTGTTTGCACTGATGGCTCCTATGATAATTTTAGAGAGGCTGCAGAATATGCTGTGATGGAGGCTGGGCAAAAGTGCGACTGATCAGAGATAGTGTCTCTTACTTGTCTGTGTCCAATTCATTCCAACCATTCCTGTTTTGAGTACATAGGTCAGTACTAAAGTACATCCATACATGCACACAATTTTGTTGATTCTGTATGATGTAGTAGATTGTAGCAACATATAATGTTTAGTCCAGCACTAGATCAATGATGAATTAGAGCAATTTTCATTTAATGTGCTTTTTGCATAACGTCTTGTTCTGTGCAGCAGTATCCCAGTTAATACATGTTATTTATGTTTGCAAGTAAATTACTCTCGTTAATACATACAATTATTATTTTTTTAAACTTGCATTTTAATTGAAATCCTTGTGTACGTGGCAAAAATGAAAGTAACACTCCAATGCTGCATTGTACTGTGGTGGTTATGATGCCATAGTGACCTGGTTCCCTTACATTGTGGTTTGACTTCTTATTTTATTTTATTTTTTCACCTGGAGTTCACTGGATGCCCCTGCACCTCTGGTCTTCGCTCAGGAACACTATCAGAAGTTCCTGGCAAGGGGAGTAGCACGCAAGAGGACCCCAGTTAAGGAGTCTTGCTGTTAAAAATTGGTTCGACTCCTCACAAGTCGGGTGCACCAGAACCACTACAGAGAGATGTAGTGGTGATGGTGCTTGTAGTGTTCCTTTCTTGTTTTGCCATCTGTATAATGCATTAAAAAAAATTCTCAAAATCTACATAAAACACAAATCCATGGATTTCTCATGGTTAAAGGGATTAAGTATGTTAAGAGTTTTTTGATCACAATATACATAACATTTTAGTGGGAACAAAGCACACATGGCAGCTTCACCCATGAGGGTATTAGCATGGACACAGAGTTTATTCTCAATGTAACCCATGATGGAGGTTACGGTTTCCGCCTAGCAGATGTGTGCTGAAGGAAAACGTGTTTGAATTTTACAACCGCGCAAAGCAGGAGTGTAGTGCATGTGTGGTTTACGCTACTGTTATCCATGTCTATTGCTCCTGCATGGCGGTATATCCACTGTTTGCATGCAATCCATCGGTTTTACAGACAAAATAGGAAGAATCGACATAGAAAAAGCCGCAGTAAGTCAAATCCGTTCTAAATCAGCTACATGGACTCTTTTCTGCTTTAAGCGTATTAATAGTTTTCTGCAAGAATAGCATCCGGGGCTAAATCCACTAAATGGCAAACTGTGCTGAATTGCAAAAGATGAGTCAGAATAACAGTTTACAAAGAGAGAAAATAAAGTCCTTAAAACATAGTTTTTGCTTTTGTTTTTTTTCCCCCCTTCCCTAATTATTTATTTATTTTCTTCAGTCTCAAACTTTAAGGCTTAAGCAATAACATTTGTTCAAATGGGGATGGTAGCAGAGGAACTTAGAATATGGCCAATGTGGTCTTGTATGTTAAAATTGCTACTAGCCAACAGTTAATGTGGTGTGTGTCATGTGTTTGCTGAGCATTGCCAGAAACTTTGTTGGGTCAGAGATAAATTGCAATTGTAGCTCACGAGTCTAAACTAAGATCATATGACTGTCTCCCACAGTCTCCACCCTGTTTGCAGTGTCTGATACTGTAGAGGCAGAAAACACATTTGTGTAAGAAACGTGTTTCAAAAAGCCATATTTGGCAACAATACCACAGTGCCAACTGTATAAAAATGCATTACCAGGCACTTGTATTGGTGGCCGATTACATATACACAAAGCCCATGAGTGGGTAGTAGCAAAAACTGTGTTTGTGTGTAAATATCCCATTTATCTTGTTTAAAATTGGCTGTGCTGCTTTAAAACCATTGATTAAGATGATGAAAGACCCTAAGTCCTTCCTTTATAAAATCTAACCTTGCAGTAGAACAAAGGTATCCATTTTGGACGTTTGATGGGGCATTGGTGGATTTATGGGATTAATGTTTCCTATAAAGTATCCCTTGAAGAATAGATAAGACAAAAAAAATGTGACAGCCATCACTAACTGAAGATCAGTGCAGAGCCCCATATTTAAATATACCTAATAGATTAACAAACTACATGTTTTGCATTATTTGATAATCTTGGCTACATTGAAAGTGACTGTGACCAACCTGTAACCTTAGCAGCTGTGTGAAATCCCACTGCCCCATGTTTAAAATATTTAGCCATAGGAAAATCTGTTGTAAATTGAATCTCCTCTGTTATTTTACCATTGGATATAAATTTAGACACCGTCGTAAAGCATACACACTTACACATTTTAACAGTAGCACTGAATGTGACAAATTCATGGTGTTATACTTGGACATTTAACTTTAGTACCTGCAGCTACTCATTATTTTTTTAACTTGGGTTAAATTTTGGCCTATAGCAATAGTTTATTAGAAAAAAAAGTCCTTCTTCAACTCTGCCAAAAGGAGTAAATTGTGTAATTTTTTTTTTCTCCTCAGGATTGTTTTTTATATTTATGGTTGTGTAAGAAAGTTGCCATTTCATTTAGTTAGTCTCTTGATGAATGCCAACATTTTAGTCCATTACAGGTGTTTGGCAAGTCTAAATGATAACACGATGTAGATTATCACATATGCAATAATCCTGTAACATTATTCTTCGTGCTAAATATTTTCCTTCATGCTTTGGGTCAGTTGAATAACAAATGAAAGATTTAATGTTTAGGGTTACAGGCTGTATAACCAAGGATGAATCTGATAGATGGTATCGCATCCAAGTTCTATTTATCTTGAAAATTAGACGGTTCTGTCAACTTTCTAAATGGGTATGGAAGCTGTCTGCTCCGTAACTGGAGATATTATTGGCTGTTGTATTGCTACTGGATGAGTCAAGCAGTGATACTATACTATAAGCAAAGGGGTTCACTCATTGCCAATGTATTTATTAAAGGACCACTATCCCAGACCACTTAAGCTCAATAAAGTGGTCTGGGTGCCTGGCCCAGCTAGGTTTAACCCTTTTTTATATAAACATAGCAGTTTCAGAGAAACTGCTATGTTTATATTAGGGTCAAGCCAGCCTCTAGTGGCTGTCTCATTGACAGCCGCTACAGGCGCTTTCCTATGAGACTGGCTGAATGCGCGCGCGGCTCTTGCCGCGCATGCGCATTCAGCCGAGGAGGCGGAGAGGAGGAGGAGGAGAGCTCCCCGTCCGGCGCTGGAGAAAGAGGTAAGTTTAACCCCTTCCACCCCCTCGAGCCCGGCGGGAGGGCGACCCTGAGGGTGGGGGCACCCTCAGGGCACTATAGTGCCAGGAAAACGAGTATGTTTTCTTGGCAGTATAGTGGTCCTTTAATGATTGTATTTGCTCTTGGATACAACTGGTAAAATTAGTTTTACCCAAAGAGACAACAATATGGATTTATTTTCCCTTGTTTCTTTTCTTTCGGTATTTGAGCCATTTCTTAGGACAGGAAGGACCTATGTTGGCACTGGGGATAGTTGTAGTAATTTCCCATATACCTAGAACATTTTACTTGATGGCTTCTTTAGATGGATAATGGTCCCTTTTTTCAAAGGGACACTCCAGGCACCCAGACCACTTCTGCCCATTGGAGTGGTCTGGATGCCAACTCCCATCACCCTTAACCCAGCAAGTGTAATTATTGCAATTTTATAAACTGCAATAATTACTTTGCAGGGATAAGTCCTCCTCTAGTGGCTATCTATATATCAGACAGCCACTAGAGCAGGGCCGGACTGGGGATACAAAGCAGCCCTGGAAAAAACAATTTGTGCCAGCCCCATAAGTCACTGCGCCATATATTGTTGCGTGTAATATGTAAGGCTATGTCTTGCCAGATGATTGAGTAATATATATATATATATATATATATATCTTTTTCTAATATAAAATATTGGTCCTTTCAGGGTAAAACGTTTAATTATACAGTAAGCATACTCACATGCAGACACAGGCAATTTTACTGACATCTCAATGACACGCACAGCCTCATAGACAAACAATCTTACTGATATACATCAGCTCATTGACATAAAAACACATGCTCATTTACTAGCAGGCACACGCATGCAAGCAAGCTCACTCATTAGCAGACGCACACACACAGCTTAATGTGGTGGTACTGGTGTCTATAGCATGTCCCTACAGGCTTTTCAACGTAAACACTGACTTTTCAGAGAAAAGGCAGTGTTTACATTGCTTCAAAGTGACACTGCTAGTGACAGTCACTCAGACGGTCACTAGAGGTGCTTCCTGATTGGGTGACCATACGAGCAAGCAATGCTTCCACAACATTTTACCATAATGCAGGTGGCAGAAAGTCATATGTCATACTTTGAAAAGTCCTTGCACTATAACCACTGTCATACGTGGTAGTGGTTATGGTGCTTATGCATCTCTATTCCATTAATACTCTCACACATGTACAATGAGGTGCCATAAACTTTTTAAGGTTTTGTTGATATTTTGGAGGAAAGTTCAGTATCATGAAGGCAATCTGAAATCAAGAAAAAGACTTTATTTATTTTTAAACTACCGGTACCATGCAATCATTTTACAGCTTCAGTAACCTATTGAATATTAGCAACTCTATATCAAAAAATAATTTTATTAAATACAGTTTATAAAAAGTCATGTTTTATAAGGGCTTTTACACAATCTGCTATTTTGTATAAGTAGATGGGTTTTCATTATTGATAAGAATTCTGCTGCAGAAATGTAGAATTTAGTGCCCATTTTAAGCAGAAGCAAATTGTATTTTGGGGGGGATTCCTGGATTGCATTAATTGCAACCCGTTATTTCCTGCAAGATATGAAAAGTTTTTTATTCATATAAATTATTAGTTCTCTTTATCAAAAAGATGTAAACGTGTATGTTATTGTTCCCCTTTCAAGTAAAGCCTTTCACAATTATTAGTATATTTTTTTTTTATTTGTTTGCCTTGTAGTAAATTTATTTAGTTGGTCAGAACTTAAGTGCTTAGATTTCTTTTTCCATGTTGTCTCTGCAGAAACTCGTGAGTGACGCTCCAGTGAAAGTGTTTGGGAAATGTTGTCAGCTGAGACCTGGAGGGGACAGTTCCACGTCTTTAGACAGTTCTTCAAATTCCCTGTCGTCCGACACAAAAGAGCAAAACTCAAAAAATCAGGTAGTGGTCTAAATCTTCACCAGCCTTATTCTACTTATTGGACTACTTTGTGTCCCATATCTTCTAAATTCCTATAGTAAGAGTGAAAGCTATGGTTCATTACTTAAAGAGACACTATAGTTCCCCAAACAACTTTTAGCTTAATTAAGCGGTTTTGTATATAGATTATGCCTCTGCGATCTCATGGCTTAATTCTCTGCCATTTAGGAGTTGAAGCACTTTGTTTATACAGCCCTAGGCACACCTCCCTGCATGTGACTTACACCGCTTTTCTAAATCTATTGTTTAAACTTACTTTATTGCACAGTCTTTCATTTAGAATTTCTTATATACTGCTCTGTTAATATCTAGCTAGACCTTGCAGGAGCCCTCCTGTATGTTAGTAAAGTTAAATTTACAGAGCAGGAGATAAAACATCTAAAGTAAGTTAACATCTGATTGAACATTAATCCATGTGTTTTTCGTGCACGCTGTGTCACACAGCCAGAGGAGTTGTGGCATATGCTCCATGGACAGAAACAAAAGTGATTTAACTCCTAAATGATAGATAATTGAGCAGCAAGAGTTGTTTTGGTAACTAAAGTGTCTCTTTAAGTATCTGCTGATCACACAGATTACTCTTCTTTTAGTGGGTTATGAAAATGTTGAATATGTATTCGTACATAGATTGTGGTGACTGTAAGGTAGGAATAGCATCCAGTTCTATTTGTACAGCCGACGGGGACATTATGTTTGTCACCAATGAAATAGATTGCAAAAAGTTTGAACGTGCGACTCCACAAAATATAATTTTGATTTCACTTCAAACTCTCACAGGATCTATGTCCATTCCCCCAGATATTGATGGCCTACAGCTCCATGAATTCTTTAAACTATCCTTGTCCTGCCTAAATGCACAACTCTTATAAATGCAACACTTTAGTTTTTGCCCCCATTTTTCATGAGCTGAACTCAAAGATCTAAGACTTTTTCTATTTACACAAACAACCTATATCTCTCAAATATTGTTCACAAATCTGTTTAAAACTCTGTTAGTGAGCACTTATCATTTGCTGAGATAATCCATCCACCTCACAGGTGTGGCATATCAAGATGCTGATTAGACAGCATGATTATTGCAAAGGTGTGCCTAAGGCTGGCCATAATAAAAGGCCACTCTAAAATGTGCAGTTTTATCACACAGCACAATGCCACAGATGTCGCAAGTTTTGAGGGAGCGTGCAATTGGCATGCTGACTGCAGGAATGTCCACCAGAGCTGTTGCCCGTGAATTGAATGATCATTTCTCTAACATAAGCCATCTCCAAAGGCGTTTTAGAGAATTTGTCAGTACATTCAACTGGCCTCACAACCGCAGATCATGTGTAACCACACCAGCCCAGGACCTCCACATCCAGCATCTTCATCTACAAGATCGCCTGAGACCAGCCACCCTGACAGCTGCTGCAACAATCGGTTAGCATAACCAAAGAATTTCTGCACAAACGGTCAGACCCTGTCTTAGGAAAGCTCATTTGCATGCTCGTTGTCCTCATCAGGGTCTCGACCTGACTACAGTCAGTTGTCGTAACCGATGGCAGACAGCGTGTATGGCGTCGTGTGGGTGAGCGATTTGCTGATGTCAACGTTGTGGATCGAGTGGCCCATGGTGGCGGTGGGGTTATGGTATGGTCAGGTGTATGTAATCGACAACGAACACAGGTGCATTTTATTGATGGCATTTTGAATGCACAGAGGTACCGTGACAAGATCCTGAGGCCCATTGCTGTGCCATTCATCCACAACCATCACCTCATGTTGCAGCATGATAATGCACAGCCCCATGTTGCAAGGATCTGTACACAATTCCTGGAAGCTGAAAACATCCCAGTTCTTGCATGGTTAGCATACTCACGTGACATGTCACCCATTGAGCATGTTTGGGATGCTCTGGATCGGCGTATACTACAGCGTGTTCCAGATCCTGCTAATATCCAGCAACTACGCACAGCCATTGAAGAGGAATGGACCAACATTCCACAGGCCACAATCAACAACCTGATCAACTCTATGCGAAGGAGATGGTCACACCAGATACTGACTGGTTTTCGGACCCCCCCAGATCCCCTTCAATACAGTAAAACTGCACATTTTAGAGTGGCCTTTTATTGTGGCCAGCCTAAGGCACACCTGTGCAATAAGAATGCTGTCTAATCAGCATCTTTAAATGCCACACCTGTGAGGTGGATGGATTATCTCGGCAAAGGAGAAGTGCTCAGTAACACACTCAGTAAGACCGATTTCTGAACAATATTTGAGATAATTAGGCATTTTGTGTACATAGAAAAAGTCTTAGATCTTTGAGTTCATCTAATGAAAAATGGGGGTTAAAAACAAACGTTTTGCTTTATAATTTTATTGAGTGTATATAGTTTCTAACTTTTTACTGTGCAAGATCCTTGACAATTTTGTGGCTTCTTTGTTTGGAATTATTAGTGATGTAGATTATTTTTGGGTATTTACACATTGGGTTTTTTAACTGTCAATACTAGGCCAACATCAAACAAAAACCTGGTGTATTTTATATCTAAATATGTGCTTCTGTCCTTCAGTGGTCAAATAGTTAAATGACAAGTGCGTGAGACTTTCAAATGTTGAATTGTTTCTCTAGCAGTTGAACTGGGTTCTCCTCACTTGGCTTGAATTACATTTTACATAAGAGATGAGATTTTGGCTGGAGAATAAGGCAGTCATATGACACAAATACATTTTCTTGGTGTCAAGCGATCTTGCAGAGATCACAAGTGTTTTGTTACAGCAGCCCAAAAATAGTAGAGTAAACCTACTGGCTCTTTGTAATACAGCAACTGTATGTGCATGTAATACAGCAACTGTATTTATTTAATTAGGCTAGGCCTTTTTCAAACATACAAGTTTAGGCAAAATCACAGCTTCATTTTGCATATCAAGTAGAGCCTTTGTAAAACCACAGCTACGGACTGCAGAGCATGAGGCTGTTACCGTTTCACACCTTTTAACAGAAGATCTAATGCTTTTGCAGCATGCTCAAGTTCTCTGCTCCTTAAGAGTTGTTTTATTGTTTACATTGTGGAGAAAGACCCAGAGGCCAGCCTGAGGGAAGAAAACAGAGGACGTGTCCTGGAGGATGAAATGAATGTCTCCTCAGAGCTAAATGCAGTTAGGGATTACAGAAGTAACCTCAGCAACAACATTATGAACTCCATGATTTCAGCTCACAGGAACCCACATAAAACATGACAAACTCCGGAACTTTAAATATTGTTAGTCTGTAGTTACATAATCTGCTCCTAAAATGAATTCAAACTTTGCAGTGCATAAATTGTGCTCAAAAGTAAAATGTTCACCTCAGAGCATTTAAGTGGACCTTGTTCCCTTTTGATTTCCCACTGTCTTATGATCTAGTTATTCTGTGGATTATGAGCACCGGTCTAATGCTGTGGTTCTTAAATGTTTTTAACAGGGATCCAAACTGTGTACATGGTGTTAACTCGCTGTCCTTATTTTTGAATTGTATAATTAACCCATTCATGGATTTTATTAGTATACCAAATGTAATGCTGCTTATCACTTTCATTAGTTCAGGTGGTTTTAGTTGGTTTCCTGGCCGCTGATGCATACAATATGCCTATTACAACAACCATCAGGACCAACTAAAATAGCGTTGGCCCCACTTTTGGATCCCATTCCAAAAGCTAACCTTTGATCAGTTAGAGGAAGTGGAAAAGTATATGCAATAAAAGAGTTGGTCTTGGATAGGTAAAAAAAAGTCTGGTTACATTTAAAGGGACACTGTAGGCACTGTGTCTGCTTCATGTCATTAAACTGGATATGGTATCCGGAATCCCCTGGTGCCATAATTTCATTCAGCATTAAACAGTTTTTAGTGTTTTATGTTTTAACGCTAAATAAGAGTACCTAGCAGCCCATCTCATCTGTGCTTCTTTGGTTAATAATTAGAATGAGCAGTAATGGGCAACTTTGATTGGCTGAGAGTGTCAGCTGACTGTTTTCAGCCTATCAGAGCTCCAAATGATTTTTACAAGGAAGTGTAAAATCTTTGCCTTAGCCACACCTACAGAAGGGGGTCGTACTTTTATTTAGTGTTAAACTGCTTGAAAATGGTTCAACGCAGAATGGAGGGACAATACCAGGTGATGCCAGGCAATATAACAAATTCAAAGAGATTGAATTGTTATAGTGACTGCAGTGTCCCTTTAAGTTTGTAATATTCTAATACATAGAGTGGGACAGCTCTGCACATTCACTATTTACACTGAGATTTTCAGCTCTGCTTGATAGAGCTTTCACAGAGAACCAGTAAGAAACTGGTTTAAGATGGACCTGCACTGAACTCAACAAGGTGTTAATGTGGCTTTCAACATTATGGTAACCGCATCAAGGGAGGTAATTTCACGGACCAAGTAAACCTGTCATGATAGAGGTCCAATGTATGTGCTGCACATACTGAAATGGTCATGGAAAAATTTAGTTTTCAAAAAGAAAATAAAAATGCATAAACACACCGAGAAAATCAGATAATAACTATCATAGTTGCATTTTAACAAAGGCATGGTATGAAAATGACCCTCTACATGCCAGATACAATCTGCTAAAGGTATGTTTAACTGCATTTTCATTTACTTTTTAATTTCTTTCTAAGTATTTAGTTGTAGCCCCAAGGTAAACCTTTATTGTACTTGCGTAGGGGAGTTGTGCACATTTACAGGTGAGAGAAAACACTAGTAATTATATTTTTACGCTCATGGCTATGTTCATTTTCTCCTTTCGTTCTGTTATAAACCTTAAAAAGTCATATTTGTCCTTTTTTTACTGACAAAAGATTATTGTATTAAGATACACAGTGTATATGGTTTCATGTGCGTTGTTTCTATGCTAAAATGTTGTTTTAAGTGTTCCAAGTTTGATAAATTCTTTCATCCTCTTAATCTATAATTGTTTCTAATCCTTTTTTTTTTTTTTTTCAGAGTTCTCGGAGCCCCTCTGATGCAAATATGCTTGGGGAGATGATGTTTGGATCTGTGGCAATGAGTTATAAAGGATCTACACTGAAAATTCACCAGATACGGTATGTCGCACTTCAAATCCTTAAGTGGATTAGTAGTCCGTGTAGGTAATCATTGTGGTGAAAGTAACCTCGCCACTTGTACTTGGAGAGGCCTGCTTGCCAGCCTCTTGCCCTGTGACTATGGCCCCTGGGATATATTGCCCTTTAAAAACACTATTTGGGCATATTGGATTTTAAAGGCACTGTTTCTGCCCCTTGGACTTCTAACTGGACCAGATTCAAACATGTGGCGGCAGGGTTTTGCCGTCGAGTGTATGGAACTGTTTTGGGCATTGGACCATGTGCACAGTGGGGCAAAAATAAGACTTCCAGGAAATTCCTGAACCGATCTGGGTGATTTTTGGATATGTTGTTCACCCAGATCGGGGCTATCAGGGGATGTGTTGTATTTTGGGGTACTTTTTGGGGTTTGTAAAAATGTATGTTCTTTTTCTGCTTAGAGTTAATTGAGTTAGTCCATTGTCTTCGTTAATTGTATCACAGGCAGAGGGGAGGGCTTGTGTGCTGTATGTGGGAGTGTCGGACATTGTTGTATTGTTCTGATTGGTTTGTGTGCCTGTGTTCCATCAGGCCCAGGGGGTTTGCCTCTGGCATGAGGAATTGTATAAATTGTGAGTACTGGCTTATATTAAGCAGACCTGCTTGACCCCTTCTTGAAGCCTTGGCTCATGTTTAGGGAATGGAATAACTACACTCTTGGGGATTGCTATAATCACAATACACCCCTGAGTTTAAGCTTTTGTAAGAGCTTGTTCCTGTTACGCTCTTTGGAGTAGGAGAGGTCTACCCACTGGAAGCTGGATCCTGGTCTTGGGTCCAGGGTGGGTGGAGGACGGCGAGACACCGGCGCAGCTGCATCGCTGGAAGTGGGGTCTGCAGTGCTTATGGTGTCTGGTGGAGTGCTTGGAGTCCTCGGCAAGCACTAGGAGCATCGATTGGCGGAGGTACTCAGTCGGAGTGCCAGCGGTCTGTCACAATCAGCATAATTGATTCAGTCTGTGCAGAAATAAATAAAATGATTAAGATATGAGAAGCATACAGAGTGGAAATGAATAAGAAAATGTAAAAAAATTTCTAATATTAAAAAAAAAGGATATGAGAAGCAGAGCTTTCTGTGGTGCGGGAGCAAAACATTACTTGAATTGGATTTAAAAAGATGTATATCTATCAAGGCCATTATTTCCACATTCCTGCTGAGCCATAAAAGCAAAAAAGTCTGAAATTATATCCAAATACCTTATGAACTCCAAACTGGTAAATTATTTCTGTCTTTAACAAAAGGTATCTGTAACAAGATGGTACTTTTTATAGTTGTGTTTTTTTTTTTTTTTTTTTCTCAACCAGCTATGCTATTGAAATAAATAAGTGGGTAGCAAAGACACAAGGCATGGAATCTCCAGGAGTAAAAATGTTGGGCTAACCTGGCTATATTGCAGTAAGCCTGATGTCTAGAGGGGATTATAGAGGGAAAAAGGGACAGTGTATAGCAAGGGAAAATAGAAAATGGTAAGAAAGAAGGGGCCTGGACATGAATAATCCTCTCTGCTCTCAAGGCTGACAACACAAAGGAATGTCAGTCCCTATTTACAAACCTTCAGGAAATTCATCAACAGAGGGAAGTCTACAAAGTGTTCCAGCCAAGGGCCGTTGGCAATTTCTCCATGAATATTGCTGCTTCCCCCCCCAACATGAATTGTAATTATCGAGTAACAATAACAACAGTTCATGACCTTTCCAGTAGTTCTGTTTTGCTTAGCATTCGATTACTAGGATTTTTTGCACAAACTGTTGTGAACATCCATAATACTTTAAATGACACCCCACAAATGGGGATCTCCGTTAAAAAATAACTAAATAAAATAATATTTTTTTGCTTTTTTAAAATTTATTTATTCATTTTTATTAAGTTTTCTTGCTTGAAGAGTTACATTTGCAATCAAATGTACATTAAACAATGTAGTTATCTTAAGATCATATAGACAGCCTCCAGAACAGGCACTGAAATGTAATCAAGTTCCAGTGGGTGCAGCTGCCCATTCCTGAATGGTATTTGGCAATCCATGATGTGATGTGCGTCAGTTAGAGTTGTGCTGCTAGGTGGGACGCATTTGAAAAACAGAATGACTTACACAAATGCAAACATGATTTGAAACGATAAACCAACAGGTGAGTTGGCAAGTCCCTAGCTGCCTGCTGGAGAATAATGCCACTATAAAACCCAGACATGGTTGTAAAACATGACAATTACAAGCTTTGTTCCCAGTACTGTGCACAAGTCGTCAAAGTTGTGTTCTAGTAGAACAAAAAGGACTAATACTCACAAATAAACTTGTTTTTTAAAAAAACATGAAGGTATAGCGATTATTTAAAGAGTAGGTTCAACTTAACTTGTCTATCCCTATTTTTAAATAAGTTGCTGAAAATGGCAACTGTATTGAGAAAAAAGAAAAAAAAAAACTCAAAACATAACACAAGCTTAACAAAGAGATATCAATAGTTCTAGTCCGTATTGTTTTTTTTCTTTCTTTCTTTTTTATCATTATTGTAATAACCTGATTTATACAGACCCAAAAAGCAAAACATTTCTAAAACAGATTTATATCAGAACTTGGTAAAACAGTTGCCAAAGGAGCACATCTACAGCTTTTGTTTTCACCATTTCATATGCCTTCTGTTCATGGATCTGTGTATTCCAGAGGGATTCACAACAAAACCATTTTAATCATGGTAGTGCAAAGCAGGGAAAAAAAAACAACCTGAGTGTATTCATTTTTATTAAATTACACTTGTGTTTGATTTCCATATCAGATATATCAAAATGATTACAAAGCCTTTAGCTCACTTTCACAGGCAGCTGGATCTGTTATTTCATCAGTGACAAATTACAGGAAGCATAATCTTTTTGTAAATACTGCCTTTATTTTTCCAGATCTCCTCCTCAGTTAATGCTAAGCAAGGTATTCACAGCGCGGACTGGAAGCAGCATCTATGGAAGTCTTAACACGTGAGTATATTTTGAACACAAGCCAAACACATGAAAGGTATTCGGGCAATTGAATGTCTACTGAAACAATCATTCTGTGTACCCTGAACGTCAAACTATCTGTCGTGGGATTATGAAGGGTTTATTTGGAGTTCAGTCCATCCCATTTCAATGCTAGCTTGCTCTGTGCTGGGTGCAACAGCTGTTTGCTGTCATTTTTTGCTGTGAAAGCCAGTGATCAGCGATTGGCAGTAATTCACCCCATCATTATTTTAATGACAATTTTAGGATGAATACAGAGCAACCGTCTACCCTGCTCAATTGCAGCATTGGATGGTAATTGTTAAATTAGTTGCGATCGGGTATGACTGCTTGGAGCAGCAGTTAAGAAATATATTACTTTGATTGTGAAAAAATTATATAACTATATTGTCTTATTTTAGATTACACCTAGCATTAGCCTGTAACAATTGAGGCTGGACAAATTCACTGAGATTCTGTTTTTGCTTGATTGAGATATAGATTTCAGATTTGCCCACCTTTCAATCAAATATATAAACTGAATCAGTCAATTGTAACTTGTGGTCATTGTCTCTAAAAGTTACAATTTTGACAACAAACTGACTTGAAGGATAGTATCCAACATATTTGTTACATAAATTGTAAAAGTATGGTGGGATTATTCATAGTGATTCAGGTTTTGGTTGTCCTGGGCTTTTTGCTTTTTTTAACTTCCCATCTTTTCTGCTTTAGGTAATTAAAAATAATCAGCCGGCATGCTATTTATGTGCTAGAAAAGTACTTCATTTTGGAAACACTCAAATCTTTTCTAATTTTACAGACTTCAAGATAGCCTTGAGTGCATTAACCATGACAACAACAACACGTTGAAACCAGACAACAGCAGCATCATGAATGGACTCTTTGGAAACATAGGTATTATTTGCTTTTTCTTTGTAGCTTTTTTGCTTTAAATCATGATAACTGTAAGGTTTTATTCTATATAAATGTATGCAGGTGTAGATTTTCACATTTTAGTTGTTAAGAGCTTTCATACTGCCTAATGACGATCTTCAGTTTTTAGTGGTTTTGTAGATTAATTTTTGTCTATTGCGATATTGCAACTTGAATAGTATGGCAATGCAGAACTCTGTAAACATTACAGAAAATAGATATTGTGTTTATTGTTGGAATAGCATAAGCCACACACTATATCAATGGTCCATATATTTCTATGATGTTCTATGTAGGACAAGAGAGACTCTGATGTGGGCTGCCTTCCATTAGCCACACCACTAACGCTAGAAACATATCCTCTTGTTCTGTTTACTTTTCAGTTACTGTCTCTACTCATCAATGTTGCATATCAAGACAGATAATGAATCTGGAGACCCTTTTAAAGGAATATCAGAGAATTCTATAGTTAATTGCTTGTAGAAGGCTCACATACATTGAGCAGCTTGAAATATGAAATTGAAGGGAAAATATGGTGTAAAGTTGACCCCCTATATTTAAATGTTCTATTGTTCATATATTATACTACTTTTTTTTTTTTTTTTTTTGCAAATGGCATTTCTTTAAAAGCTGTGCTATGCTCTCTGACAATGATCATTTGAAGAATTCATACGAATTCTTACGAATTGCCCCAGGCAATTACCCACAATGAAGTCTTTTTGTGTCGCTGCCTTTCCAAGTGCAGTGGTTGTCACTGGAAAAATCCAAGTCTAATTGATGAAGGCATATTGCAGATTTTATTATACATTCTCTAGCATCTAAATTGTAAGTCCTGTGGTAGATAACTTGTCATTAACTTTATATATAAAAAAAAAAAAAAAAACTGTTAATAGCCATTGAGTTTCAGAATGTTAATGTGCAAAACAAAATTGCCACCATCAACTATTTATAAAACCCATAAAAGGACATTTGGGAGAGGAGAATGAATGTGCTAAGAACTCAAGCATCTATCTGTATTTCTTACGTCAAGTACATTTACCCTCAAGGGAACTAATTCCATAAACAAGAGTGAACAAATGAAAGCGTTTACAATCATATTTGCCGACATCCTACTATTTGTTCATGTAAAACCAATTTTGTTAGTGCGTCTAAAATACTGTTATTGTGTTGTTATTCTTGATTTTGTTTTATTTATTTATGTTTGTGCTTTTTTTCCTTTATGGTTTTCTTCTGTCTCCTCTAGGCTGTTAGCTGTCCTACTAACTTTTTGTTTTGCAAACCTATTCTACATTTCGACATGTAGGTCTGTCTCAGCTTTGCAGCCCTAGGCGGGCATTCTCAGAGCAGGGCCCGCTCCGCCTGATCCGGAGTGCCTCTTTCTTTGCAGGTGTGCTGCGTGCTGTGTGAGGCTTAGTGTAGACTGTTTGTCTAGATGCATGTTAAGTTGGGGCTTCACTGTGGAAATAAGGAACTACAAGATCCATAATTAAGGCAATCAGAACAAAATAGCTAAAACCTTTTACTAATAACAATAGACTCGGTGTAGTGCGCAAAGGACAACCATATGCTAAAACATATAATATGTACCGGTGTTACTGTAACAGTTAACATTCTATCTCCAATTAGTTTTGTTAGGATTGTGTTTTCGTCACTGTACAATAATTCTTTGACATAGTTCAGATATCCTTCTAAGGAACAATATGGACAATCTAGATTAAATAGGAGTAAGCATTTAAATAGGCCTGTCCTACGTACAAAATATTGTATTTTAAAATCACCCACCCACTCATCCACTCACTCATCCACTCATCCATCTTTTAACCTTCACTGATGATACCCTATCTGCTGAATTTTAATTAATAAAAGACCACTCCCCAACCATAAAGCACTTCAGCTTAGTTAAGTGCTTTATGGGTGAGGAGTACCTCCTTTCAAAGGTACTTTATAAAAGTGCAGATTTTGTATGAGAAATCAGCACTTTTGTGATTAATTAATGAAACACCCTCTAGCTGTCCATCAAACTGCCTGCTTTACTTAACTCCCCTCTGCCACTTGTGTGTGTCGCCGTCCCCCATATCTCCTTCTCGGATCAGAACAATGTGCAGTGCGTGCTTCTCAAACTTATAATTTATACCCAATGAATACATGTATGAAAAATACATGTATGTATTCATTGGAGTATATCTACTAAATAGTGATTTCTACTTATTTGATCATTTGGGCAGTAGAGTGTCCCTATAATTCCGTGCTTCTGCTCCTCCAAAAATGGAATGTGCTATTCTCTAATTATAGCTAGTTGAATAGGACTGTGAATGGTGCAGTGTATTATATTCATTTTTTATTTATATTACCTAGTAAAACATCCACATTGAAATGTTCTGTTAAGTCCTATTAGAATGATAAGCAGGTAAAATATTTCCCTATGGCACCTGGAGATATGACAGTACAGCTTAAATTAGTACGTTACACAATGTGTTGTTATTCTGTCTGAGAAGCTGGGTCAGCAGGAGATGAGCATGTTTAACAAAAATAATTGATGTGCAGTAAACGTGATGAAGTTAATTCAAATTCGTATTTAATTGCTTAGTCCATACTTGGAACTGGTTAATGTTTCGCTTTGAAAAGGATAAGAGGATCCCACAATGTCCGTTATTGAACATTACCTTGTGGCTCAGATTGATTAGCCACATCCAATATGGACTTGCGATATAATTGCCATACAATGCAACTGCACAATCTTGACAAAGTTTCAGTTGTCTTATAAGGCAAAGGTCACAGCGGAGAATTTGAAACATTGACATATAGTGGAGCAGCCAAAATGCATGTTGCGTAGAGGGTAACACGACCTTATTTCCGGAGTTGAGCACCACTTTTGTCAATACCAAAAACTATATGTATGGAGAAAAAAAAAAATGCATGCCGATATTGTTTTAATTTTAACACATTGATATTCTCAATTCTCACACAAGCACATGACCTGTTAATTTTGAAGTTTCAAAACCCAGCTGAACAAGACAAGTTCTCAACCAAAAGTATGATATTGCACAGTGATTTTTTTATTTTTTTTTCCTCCTCAAACGAACACAATTTATTGCTGGCTGTCAGGTAATTGTATTATTTATCAAATAGGACTGTAGGATTGTATTTAAAAATAATGCAGTGGGATTTTTAAAGTGGAATCCTAAAACAAAAAACAAAAAAAACAAAAATCATAGTCGTATTGGCCCGAACTTGCAGACTTGTTCAGCTGTGGAATGGCTTTTGGTGGTGGTTTGCATGATCATTTGTACACGTAGAATCAGTTTTTTCAATAAAATATCTCTATAATTTGTGTTCACTGTAGATATAAAATTTCTGAAAATAAATAGGTATTGGAGGGCACAATATGGAATTTATAACCATCTGTCTCACTCACAAGGTTCATTGGCACAGCTGTGATAATTTTACAGAATTACATCCTAACAAGTGCATGGGTTTGGACCTGCTGTTGCTGCATTTGCATTTTAATAATCATTTTTAATATTGTTTTCCAGTCCACAGCAACCCAATGGACATGCCAGACCGGGGCTTCAATGAGGATCGAGATAGCGGCATAGCACGATCTGGTGAGAATCCATTAATGTATTTTAACAATTTTATGCTCCTTGATTTCATAAAGTTCGAGCACAAACTGATGTCAGGTCTATACAGATTTTACTATTATTTTTCTGCCAAAAAATATTATTTTAGTTGTAGCCAGCTGTTGCCATTGATAGTTTTTGTCTTACTCTCTCTCTTTGTCCATAGCTTCTCTGAGCAGTCTTCTTATTACTCCGTTTCCTTCACCAAGCTCTTCACTCAACAGCAGCTGCGCAAGCAGCTATCAACGTCGTTGGCGCCGTAGTCAGACCACAAGCTTGGAGAATGGGGTTTTTCCTAGATGGTGAGGTGTTTGTATGGTATTCTCTCAATAAATCATTGAATCCATTTTCTAAGCTTTATGACACAACTTAAAATACATACATTAACGATTTACCTGCACGTCGACTGCTTGGACTTACAACCAGTTCTATGGCCTGGGGATTCGAGGGATGCCCCATGTTGAAGAACATAGATTTGAGGGATTCCCTGCTCTAGTGAGCTGGTCTATATTCTGGGAATTTGCCTCGAACATGGGTTCTAGGGATTCTTTGCGCTAGTGAGCTGGTCTATGTTCGGGCGAATTCCCCAAATGCAGACCTGCTCTCTAGCAATCGTAAAAGAACAGAACCCGGTCAGTAAGTGAGAATCATCGGTATTTATACTTGATCTAATGTAATTTTCCCAATCCAGTATGTACATTCAAAATACAAGGACCGCTCACAATCTCAAACCTTATTGAAGTAAGCAACAATGTTTACAAAATGATAGAATACATACATTGCTATTGTACATAATTTTTAGAGATTAGTCTGCTCACACATTTTTTTTCCTTCCAATGTTTCCTTCACAGGTCTGTGGAAGAAAGCTTCAATATATCTGATGAAGGATGTGGGGCTAACCTAGGAATTGCAAGAAAGAAAAAGATTGCCATTGGAGTGATTTTTTCATTGTCGCAGGATGAAGAAGAAAATAACAAATTTCATGAGTTTTTCTTTTCTCACTTTCCAATTTTTGAGAGTCACATGAACAAAATGAAAAGTGCAATTGAACAGGTAAAGAAAAACATGGTGATGTAGAAACTTTTTTTTTCTCTGCTTCTCATCCACAAAAGGTGAACAAATCACAAATATACCATTTAATGGACAAATAATAATAATAAAAAACAAACAAAAAAAACTGTGTTTTAAAGGGACACTATAGTCACCCAGACCACTTCAGCTCAATGAAGTGGTCTGGGTGCCAGGTCCCCCACTTTTTAACCCTTCAGATGTAAACATAGCAGTTTCTGAGAAACTGCTATGTTTACATTGCAGGGTTAATCCAGCCTCTAGTGGCTGTCTTCCTGACAGCCGCTATAGGCGACTCTGGACGCGAAAATCGCATCCAGCGTGCAAAACGTCCATAGGAAAGCATTGAGAAATGCTTTCCTATGGACTGTTTGAATGCGCGTACGACTCTTGCCGCGCATGCCGCTCCACTCGGGAGCTGACATCGGCGGGGGAGGAGAAGTCACAAGCGCCGAGAGAGCCTGGCGCTGGATTAAGGTAAGTAACTGAAGGGGTTTAAACCTCTTCAGCGCCAAGGGAGGGGGACCCTGAGGATGATATAGTGTCAGGAAAACAAGTTTGTTTTCCTGACACTATAGTGATCCTTTAATGGAGCTTTAGAGGGATACTCTAAGCACCAAAACAACTAGTTAATGAAGTAGTATTGGTGTATAAAGCATGATGCTGCAGTCTCACTGCTCAATTCTGTCATTTAGAAGTTAAATCACAATTGTTTCTGTTAATGCAACCCTAGCCACACGTCCCGAGGTTGTGACTCATGCAGCCTCCATGAAAAATGTTTTCATTTCCAAACAGATCTGTCAGCTACTGTCTACTAGACAGCTACTAGAGGGCAGTTCCTGGATCATAGCACATTTTCTTTGCTAGAGCGTCGCTGGACGTCCTCATGCTGTGTGAGGACCTCCAGCGTCGCTCAATTCCCTATAGGAAAGCATTGAAAAGCATTTTTAATGCTTTCCTATAGAGAGCTCTAATACGCATGCATGGCATTGCCGTGCATGCACATTAGGTCTCCCCGGCCGGCGGCCGGGATCAGTCTCTCCCACCGGCCGACGTAATAAAGAGGAGGAGCGGTGGCGACCTGAAACCACCGTCGAGGGACATTGGTGGGGGTCTCAGGTAAGTAACTGAAGGGGTTTTCACCCCTTCAGCAACCGGGGATTGGGAGGTGGGAGGGAGAGGGGACCTGCAGTACCAGGAAAACGGATTGTTTTCCTGGAACTGGAGAGTCCCTTTAAACATTGGATCTCTCTTTGCAGAAAACGTGTAGGGAAACTGTAAATCACATGTAGGGGTTGTGTGACAAGGGCTCCATAAACAAAGTAATTTAAAGGACCACTCTAGGCACTCAGACCACTTCAGCTTAATGAAGTGGTCTGGGTGCCAGGTCCAGCTAGGGTTAACCCTTTTTTTTTATAAACATAGCAGTTTCAGAGAAACTGCTATGTTTATAAATGGGTTAATCCAGCCTCCAAATCCTCTAGTGGCTGTCTCATTGACAGCTGCTAGAGGCGCTTGCGTGATTCTCACTGTGAAAATCACAGTGAGAACACGCAAGCGTCCATAGGCAAGCATTGTAAATGCTGTCCTATGAGACCGGCTGAATGCGTGCGCAGCTCTTGCCGCGCGTGCGCATTCAGCCAAAAGGGAGGAGAGAAGGAGGATCGGAGGCGGAGAGCTCCCTGCCCGGCGCTGGAAAAAAGGGAAGTTTTAACCATTTCCTCTCCCCAGAGCCGGGCGGGAGGGTGACCCTTAGGGTCGGGGCACCCTCAGGGCACTATAGTGCCAGGAAAATGAGTATGTTTTCCTGGCACTATAGTGGTCCTTTAACTCCTAAATTGAAGAGAAATGAGCAGTGAGATCGCAGGGGCAAGATCTATACACCAAAACACTCTGTTAAGCTAACGTTCTTTAGGTACTTCTAGTGTCTCTTTAAAAGTCTAGGTTGGGACATGCTCAAAAGAGTTGTAACCTAATTAATATGCATTACTTGCAACATGGTTATCAAATGTGTACATTAAAAATACTTATGGCTGTCGGAAATGGGTGTTTGTACAACTGCCGGCCTCCAAATGATGTGACCAATGCAATATTTATCAGGAGCATAGCTACTGACCTCTTTTACAGACAGCCATTTGCTGTAATTTATCTTGAATAGTGAATCAACACAGAAGAAGAGGAATATGTTATAGAAATCTTAAACCAGTCAATTATAAAAAAAATTTGCACAGCCTATTTTTCTTTTTTTTTCTTTTTTTTTTAGGAAATATATTTGCTTGGTTACATATTGTATATCAAATAATATTGTTGCACTTCTTTGATACAATTTAGGGAAAATTTACTATTGTTTTCCCAATTGACATTTAAAGGCCATGAAAATGAGCCGTCGATCAAATGATGCCAGCCAGAGAAGTTTAGCGTACATCAAGATTGTAGATGCCCTGAATGATTTCAGGTAAGTGGGTTTTTTTTTGTTTGTTTGTTTTTTTTTTTTTTTTGTTTTTTTTTATCATTGGTGTCCATCATCTGATACTTTTTTTTTCTTCTCCTTCTTCAGTGTGTATTATAATAATATTACATTTCTAAAGTGGTTTTCCAAAGTTAAAGTTAGCCAAAGTACAAGTATTTAAATTTGTATGTGATATCTTTACAGGAACACTATGGCATTAGGAATACAAACATTTATTCCTAACACTATAGTGTTGTCCTCACCATGTAAATATGGCCCCCATTCCCTTCAAGAGTTAAAAAAACAGTTTGCTTTATCCTATATCGCCCTGTGCGGTGGTCTCTTCTCTTTCGCTAAGATTATCAATTTGAACTTCGCCAGTCAAATGCTGTCTGCAAGAGTCATTTGATTAAAGGACCACTATAGGCACCCAGACCACTTCAGCTTAATGAAGTGGTCTGGGTGCCTGGTCCAGCTAGGATTAACCCTTTTTAATAAACATAGCAGTTTCAGAGAAACTGCTATGTTTACACTGAGGGTTAATCCAGCCTCTAAAGCCTCTAGTGGCTGTCTCATTGACTGCCGCTAGAGGTGCTTGCGTGCTTCTCACTGTGAAAATCACAGTGAGAAGACAACAGCGTCCATTGTAAATGCTTTCCTCTGAGACCGGCTGAATGCGCGGCTCCTGCCGCGCGTGCGCATTCATCCGATGACGTCGCTAGGAAGAAAGAGAGGAGGAGGAGGAAAGCTCCGCGCCCGGCGCTGGAGAAAGGTAAAATTTTAACCCCTTCCTCTCCCCAGAGCCCGGCAGGAGGAGGACCCTGAGGGTGGGGCACCACAGTGCCAGGAAAACGAGTATGTTTTCCTGGCACTATAGTGGTCCTTTAAAAGTCTCACTCAGTTATTCAGCATAGACACCCTCTAGTTGCTGTCAGGAAGAATGCCAGTAGAGGTATGTTAACCCTGCAATCATAACATTACTATTTCTATTAAATACAAATGTTTTGGTTTGTAGTGTTAAAACAAAAGGGCAACTGCTCTGAGAAGGATTGATTTGGGTGCCTTTGGTGGTACTGTAATTAGTCAGAATAAATGACCTGATTCTTTACTTAACCCAATATGCCTTTGGTAAAAATCATACTTGCAGTTTCTTATATGCATCATAGAGGTCTCTCAATTCCCGTTCTTATTACGGTAGGAAGGTGGTTGGAACCAAATGGGAAATGAACCTGCCAGTATCGGAACATTTTTTTATTGCTTGGAGAATGTGGAGTTACATTAAACTCTGATCACTGTTTTACGTGAAGTCTTGGTAATAATCCATCCTTAATAGAGAAAGAATAAGTGATTGGCCATGCAAGCACTCATCCAAAGCCAAATGGTTTGATGCACCACCTCCAATACTGAATAAATACAAATAGATCAGGTACCTAAAAGGTTGCATTTATGCACCTTTAATTCCTCACCAGCGTAATGTTTCCACTCTCTATCGAGCCTTTTCTTAAGCATGATGGGCAGGTAATAACCAACCAAACCTGAAGGCTCTGCTGAAACCCCATGCACACCTCACTTTTGCTCAACTATAACTACTAACTTGTCAAACGCTTATTGTAGCTCGTACAACTATAGTAGAATCTGGAGAGCAGCCATTTGGCTAAACCTGGTCTTTGTCCTCGCCTGCCTTGAGATTTTCACTTCCCCTCCACTTGAAACAATTTGTTCTACGTGCAGCAGCCAAATTAATTTTGGAGAGTAATGCAGCAATGTGTGTGGAGTCCTTGAATATCAAGTCACATCAATCTCAGTAGGAGTCAAATTGACCCATGGGGAATGAGCTAGAACTGTTTTTATTTTTTTTTATTTTAGTATTTGTTGCTTTGGAAGCAGAATTATAAGTGTTTGGCCAAGTCATGGGATACAGTGATAGTCACGTTTCAAGGACATGTGATTAGTGAATATCTTTTTCTTACGGACATACAAGCTTTTTTCAATTTTTACGTAATGGCTATAAAAATTGACTTCTATTTTCTTTACTCTTTTCTTTAAAATCCTGCATTCACATGTAGGTCCATATAGTCGAAAGTCCATGTCATAGTTTAACCTTTATCCTGTGCTTAGTCCGTATAATTTGTCTATACCACATCTTAGTAATAAAAATCTTGGTAATAAAAAAACACTTCAGCTATAATGTGTAGGTAAGATTTCTATAAATCAAGAGGAACATGCATCATCCGATCAAACCCTGAGGTTCTCAAATATAAACAAAGGCCATCTATAGGTTTAACGTAAAGACACCCTGTTTGGTTTCAAGACATAGAGCAGTTTATTTCAGCATTCCACTGATAACCTTAATTCTTAATTCAATGTTACCCATCAATGGAACATTAAAGGTTTTAAAAATGTGGACCAACATTCAATATCCTTCTGACAGTTTTATTTAAATACTTATGAGATTCAGCCATATTTGCTCAGTGGTTGTTTTATAATATCTGGGAAAAAATATGTTATATCTCGTAGTTTGCATGTTTTATGTATGCATTTATTTTTTTGAATGTGGTAGATAAATGGCATACCATTGGGATGTAAACCCAACACTTTTGAGAGAAACATTTGATGTTGCAGAAGGAGGGCTATGGGAAGAGTTGATCTGGACGAGAGTAAGAAGCGCTATGAGGAAAGGAAGGGTCAGAGGGAGAGGTGACATAAATGAGAAGGGCTTTGCAAAGAGGTGATGTGGCTTGGATGAGAAGCATGGCAACAAGGTGAAGATGGGTATGAGACCAAGGGAAAATTAAAGTGGCATGGATAGGAAATAAAGGATACATACAGAGGGTACATACATTTTCATGCACATACAAACCTGCATTCACACACATTCCTTTTCACAAATATACCTTTAAATTCCTTATCATTGATATGCACACTTACACTCTTAATAAACATCCCTGCATACACAGATTCACGCTGCAAACACACACCCCTGCATTTACTCAGAATGACATGCTGTTTGGAAAAAAAAAAGTAGTGTGTATGCTGTTGTGGTGGTGAGTACATTTTAAGTTTGGCTAGTAGTTTATGAATATTTGAGCCCTGTCCCTGAGCCCTCAGTATCTTTGTTTTTTCAACTGTGCATTTTTGTTCCTAAAAAAAGAATGCAGTGATGAAAAACCAAAAGCCACTTTGGATAACTATACAATCTTAGCAGGTGCACAAATTCCTCTGTGTAAGTTTACAGTACTACATATTGGCAAGTGCTAGACTTTGGGTTCTGTTTCCCATAAGCTGTCTCTAATTTTAATCCAGTTTCGTGTATGAACTGTTGTAAGAAAAGAGTGGTAGCTTTGAATTTTTGGCTGCTTGTTTTCATTAAGGTCAAGGGCATTTTGCCCTGATTATGTGCACAGCAAGAAGTGTCCTTAACAGGAGATGCTAGGTGGCCCAGAATTCTGCGGACTATGAACCCCAGTGGTAATCTTACCATGTGGTGTTTATCAGGGCCGGATCTGTGAATCTCACGAGGTGTATTAATGCAGCCAGATGGCTTTAACTACCTGTGAAATAACCAGGCATCTCATACTGCAGCCAGTGTCCTGAAATTACCTAATTTAACCCACAGCTAGCATTGCTTCGCATAATTTGGTCCACAAATTCTCTGTTAAAACATTTGATTTGGATTTAGTTTTTTCCAACATATTTATTTATATGTATGTTTGCATAGTTTTATTTTAAATTTTAATTATTTTATGTGACTTAACATATATTATTATTGCGATTTCTATAGCGCCAACAGATTCCGTAGTGCTTTACAATATTATTAGAGGGGGGATTTGACTATAAATCGGACAATTTCAAGAAAACTTACAGAAACGAAGGGTTGAAGAGGGCCCTGCTCAAACAAGCTTACAGTCTATAGGAGGTGGGGTATAAAACACATTAGGACAGGGAATAGAAGTCAAATTAGGTGGGAGTGGAGCAGAGGTGGTGGAGAGAGTAGAGTGCTGCCCTTTAGGAGAGAGCAAGAGGCAGGTATGTGAGGTAGAGGTTAGTCTGGGAGGCCATAGGCTTTCCTAAAGAAATTAGTTTTATGGCACTTCTTAAGTGATTGAAGACTAGGGGAGAGTCTGATGGTGGTAGGATGCCGCCCGCGAAAAGTCCTGCAAGCGCGAGTTGGCCGTACGGGTACGAGAAGCGGACAGAAGAAGGTCACGGGCAGAGCGGAGAGACCGAGAAGGGGCATACCTATGGATCTGTGAGGAGATATAAGAGGGGCTTAGATTATTCAGTGCTTTATAGGTATGGGTTAGCACTTTGAATTGACTCCTATGGGATACAGGAAGCCAATGTAAGGGCTGACAGAGGAGTGAGGTGTGAGAGGACTGACTAGAGAGGAAAATCAGTCTGGCGGCAGCATTCATTACAGGCTGTAGCGGGGCAATACGGCTATTGGGAAGACCAATTAGGAAAGAGTTACAATAGTCCATGCGAGAGATTACTAGAGCATGGATAAGCTCTTTAGTAGCATCTTGTGTAAGAAAGGGACGGATGCGGGCGATGTTTTTGAGGTGGAATTGGCATGATTTGACAGAAGTCTGGGGAGGAGAGATATATCTGGATGTCATCAGCGTACCAGTGGTATTTGAATCCAAAAGAGGTAATAAGCTTGCCAAGAGAGGCAGTGTAAAGAGAAAATCGAAGGGGACCAAGGACAGAGCCTTGAGGGACTCCAAATGAGACAGGACGAACAGTGTAGGTATCATTTGAAGGAGACTCTGAATGAGCGTTGGGAGAGATAGGAGGAAAACCATGAGAGGACAGAGTCACAGAGACCGAGTGATTGAAGAGTTTGGAGAAGGAGAACATGATCAACAGTGTCAAAAGCAGCGGAGAGATCAAGAAGAATTAATATGGAGTAGAGACCTTTGGATTTAGCTGTGATGAGGTCATTAGTGACTTTGATAAGGGCAGTCTCAGTAGAGTAGAGGGGGCGGAAGCCAGACTTAAGAGGGTCGAGGAGAGAGTAGGAGTTGAGGAAGCAGGCCAGACGGGTGAAGAGTAGTCTTTCAAGAAGCTTTGAGTAGAAAGGGAGCAGGGATATAGGATGATAGTTAGAGAGGGAGGATGGGTCGAGACATGGTTTTTTTTAAGATGGGTACTACAGTAGCATGTTTCAGGACAGCAGGAACAGTGCCAGAAGAAAGAGAGCAGTTGAAGATGTGTGTTAAGGAGGGCACAAGACAAGAAGAGAGAGATCTAATAAGGTGAGATGGGACAGGATCAAGCGGGCAAGTGGTGGGGCGAGAGGAAAGGATAAGTGCAGCCACCTCTTGTTCAGTAGCCTGGGAGAAGGTCGGAAGGGTTGGAGAGGCATGATCCAGGGGAGGTTGAAAAGGTGAGGGGCAAGGTGGTGAGAATTATTTCCTTATCTGTTCAATCTTGTCAGTAAAGTAGCAAGCAAGACTATCGGCTGTAAGGTTAGTTTGGGGAGTGGCCACAGCAGGGCAAAGAAGAGAGTTAAAGGTATCAAAGAGACGCCTGAGATTGTGGAAGCATGAACGAATAAGAGAAGAAAAGTATGAGTGTTTGGCAAGGGCAAGGGCTGTGCTGTATGAACGCAATATGAATTTGGAGTGTAGAAAGTCTGACTCGGTGTGAGACTTCCTCCAGCAGCGTTCAGCAGAACGAGAACATCTTTGCAGGTAGCGTGTTGATTTAGTGTTCCATGGTTGGGGGCGTGTCCTCCTTGCGGTGTGTATTTGGAGAGGGACTGCAGTTTCCAGGGCTGAGGTGAGTGTAGAGTTATATGAGGAGATAGCCAGTGAGGGACATGAGTGAGCAGTAATGGATAATAGTTGGGAATTGATATCAGCTGACAGCTGCTGGAGGTTTATATAACTCAGATTCCTTCTGAGTTGAGGGGGGTTAGGTTGAGGTTGTTGGGGGAGGGGGCTATTGAGAGCAAATGATTGGAAATGATGATCTTAGAGAGGAAATGGAGTGTTGCAGATAGTAGAGACTGTACAATCATGAGTGAAAATAAGGTCTAGAGTATTGCTACATGGGTGGGGGACTTAGCCCACTGTGATAGCCCAAGGGAGGAGGTAATAGAAGGTAGTTTTGAGGCTGCTGAGGTCAAGGGTGAGTTAATTGGAATGTTGAAGTCTCCAGGAATTACAGATGGAATGTTAGAGAAACATAGAAACATAGAATGTGACGGCAGATAAGAACCATTCGGCCCATCTAGTCTGCCCAATTTTCTAAATACTTTCATTAGTCCCTAGCCTTATCTTATAGTTAGGATAGCTTTATGCCTATCCCACGCATGCTTAAACTCCTTTACTGTGTTAACCTCTACCACTTCAGCTGGAAGGCTATTCCATGCATCCACTACCCTCTCAGTAAAGTAATACTTCCTGATATTATTTTTAAACCTTTGTCCCTCTAATTTAAGACTATGTCCTCTTGTTGTGGTAGTTTTTCTTCTTTTAAATATAGTCTCCTCCTTTACTGTGTTGATTCCCTTTATATATTTAAATGTTTCTATCATATCCCCCCTGTCTCGTCTTTCCTCCAAGCTATACATGTTAAGATCCTTTAACCTTTCCTGGTAAGTTTTATCCCGCAATCCATGAACCAGTTTAGTAGCCCTTCTCTGAACCCTCTCTAAGGTATCAATATCCTTCTGAAGATACGGTCTCCAGTACTGTGTACAATACTCCAAGTGAGGTCTCACCAGTGTTCTGTACAATGGCATGAGCACTTCCCTCTTTCTACTGCTAATACCTCTCCCTATACAACCAAGCATTCTTCTAGAGGAAAGGAAGTAAGAAAGCCAGGCAGCAAAGTGGTCAAGGAAGAGAAGTGGGGAACCAGGGGGACGATAGATAACCGCAATGTTAGCAGAGATGGCTTTAAAAAGGCGGATTGAATGAATCTCAAATGATGAGAAAGATTGGGAAGGGGTGTGGGTAGAGGTTTGAAGGAGCAGTGAGGTGAGAGCAGAAACCCTATGCCACCACCTTTATTTTCAGAGTTTCTTGGGTTGTGGGAAAATTGAAGACCATCAAAGGAAATATACATATTTAGTAATTTGAGAAGCCCTTTTTTGGTTGTAAAATAATGGATAATGCAATTGATTGGAAGCTATGCCAGGGGGATGACTTTTCCCACAGCACATCATGCACAGGAATAACAGTGAGCCTGAGGCATCGTTGGTCTGATAGCCCTCTACAAACTACACCTGCCAAACAGTGAAAGGGTTTGGGCAGGCCATTAAGTAGATAACCACTGGTGGGTGGAATGGTCATACCACCTAATGGAGATGAGAGAAACCCCAGTTTTACAATTTTTTATTCTTCATATTTATTTAGAGGGGGGCAGACACTTAATTGTAAGTGCAGGGTGTTATAAAACTAAATAAGTTCATTCTAAAAAACAAAATGTTAAGTGGAGTAATCTGGATGGAGTGCCAGTTTTTGATTTACTGCAGACTGTTTCTATGCATGTCTTCTACTCAACACATATTCATTCTTTCTCCTCTATTCCTCACTCACCAGTATGGTTTCTGCCCAGGTTCCAACATGGAATATGCTATAACATGAGCATACATTATTATAATTCCACTCATTGACATTATCCTGCCTATTGCATTTATTAAATTCATTTAAAAGTGTTAGCATTGCATCAAATCATTTCTCAACATATTTCACATCTAAGAGTTAAGCCTTGGTGATCCAAACTCCATTCTCTACCAGTTTTAAGTAATTTTAGGGAGGCACACCTTCTGCTTTTAGCTGCTCAAATACTTGTAATCAGCTTCCTCAGTGTGCAGAAACTTTAGTGTGAAATATGATCTCAAAGCACATCAAACATTTTAAAGTGGACCTATCACTTTTAACTTTGACATTTTTATGATGGAAAAACAAAAAAAAAAATGGTTGGAATTTTCTTAATTAACCTTTTCCATTCACCATTGTCATTGTGAAGCAAATTTCTGTGACCTTGTATTCTTGCTGCTGTTGATTGTAACTTCCAACATGTTACGTTTTTGACTATTGTTTACAAAGATTTGTATTTTTACAATGGCAAGCCTAACGTTTAAACCAGAACCTCTGTAAAGCAGTTTGTTGTGGTTAGATGGTGCTACCACATGAGTACAGTCTACTGTGTAAGAGGGGTTAAGTGCCATGTTTAAAGAGGGAGAGAAATCTACTGAAACTGGGTGTGGGCATATGACACATATAACTACATGCCATGCCCTTGCTCTCTGAGCAATAATACTCTTATTTGTTGCATGGAGGTTTCCCTTTATTGAAGGCACATGTCTGCTGGTAGGCTGCCAGTAGAATCTGATCTCTGCCAGAGGCTACCAGAATAGTAAATAATGTGTCACAAGACTTGGTCTATCTGCCCACAGCAAACACATTTTAACACCTTCTGGAACCGATGGCCCTTAACCCTTAACAAAGTCAGTTGTTCATGTGCAGTTTGTTTAAAGTAGAGCTTGTGAGGCGTGTGTTCATTCATGGGGGTGGTAAATCATCTAAGTACCATAAAATGCAAGGCTAATTACATTTTTTTGGACATGTCCTTTACTTGCACAGCGAGTCCATCATGTTTTTACTCTGTATTATAGTTAACATGTATAGTCACAAGCAGTTTTCTTGACATGGTGATGTTGTTGGAAAGCAACACTGTAATACGTGCATTTAACACCGTGAAATGATTTAGCCTTCACCATTTTCAGATTTATTTCTGACACCAGTGCCTGTGTACTTACAGGTTCGACCACATTTCCTAATAGAGGTTTTTCACCATAAAACAGTGACCCTGCAAATCGAAAAGAATCTACAAATAACTTAAATTTTTTTTTTAAATCAGATACATACATATACAATGTACAATAAATCTGGTGCATTTGGTGACACTGTAAGGATTGTATACTAATATCTGAATTGTTGGATATTCAAAGACGATTTCAAATTATTGGGCCCAATAAACAAATTAGAAATATTTTCCAAGTCAATTGTGTTTTCAGTTTGTCTTTTGGCCTAAGATTTTAAATTCACTTTTAATTCCTGATACTTTGCATTTCTGAAACAGGAGCTTCATAGTTATACAGCAGGGAGATATAAAAAAACAAACAAAAAAAAACAACAAAATAAAAACGAAGTAGGTGAGTTTACTCACAAAAAAATAAATAGAACAAATACCTGACATACAAAAACGTTGATCAGGCATCCGTAAACTAGCTCTGCCTCTTAGATTTTTATGTGAGCAGCAATCTAAAGGAAACAAACTGCATTAAACAACAATTTGTGTTTATTATTACTGATAAGTAGGAGCACATGTTGTCTTATTATTTTACTAAACCGAAGTCTCTTTGCTTTTACCAGAACAACGATCAGTAATTTATACACCATGCCAAGGATTTCTGAGCCTGTCTGGTTGACTATGATGTCTGGGGCACCTGAAAAAAATAACCTCTGCCATCGCTTCATGAAAGAGTTTGCCTTCCTCATGGAATACACCTCGAAAAGCCAGTATGTGTCCATTTTCTTCTCAAATATATCTTAAAACAATCTTGCAGTGTTTATTGAAAAGAAGAGCTGCTGTCCTTGGGATTTGTCATGTAACAAAGTACATTCTGCCCAAGACTCGAACACCACTTCTGTGTACTGAAATAACATTAATAATAATGTTACTGCAATGTAACATTTGGCAATGTAAATACTTAGCAATTTGCACAAAACAAGGCCACAAAACAAAGCAATCTCTCTTTCAATACCATTTTTAATTTCTCAGAAGACTTTCAATATGTTGTACATACTAACAGTTTCACAAAACATATTTGTATATTTCACCTGTGTTGTTTAAAGAGGAGTCCCATGTACCATAAACACTACAGCTCATTATAGTGGTTATGTTGAATCTTCCCCTCCCCACCCTCCATTTTCTATTAAAACACAAGGCCAGCTCATCTGTAGCCACCCCGATAAGGCAGAATATTCACTTTTGCTTTATCTGTTTGAAGCTGTCCGGTCTGAAAACAAAAAGCTGGAAATTTTGTGTTTAGAGCATCAGCTGGTACAGGACATGGTACATTACAGAAACATTATAATCTCTGGCTTGCTGATGAATCACATCAGGCTCTGTTCCTTTTATAGAATTAGATGAGTATTGCAGATGTCAATTTGTGTTTAATATCAACAAAAACACTTGAAAGAGAGCTAAAACAGTCAACCTATCTATGACATTCATTATCAACTGAGAACAAATTTGTTTTAATCTTGGGGGAAAAATATGAATGGTAATTGTTATCATGAATACAGTTCTATGCATAGTTTGGGCTTTCAGATCCCAATTTTGTATTTAGTTATTGTCAGCAGGAAGCTTGTTGGAGTAACTTTAATACTTTTTTAATATGGGAAATATTCCAAAACAGAAGGTCAGGCAAATGTACAACGTGGTAAACAATAACCCAAAGTCCAGAGTACTTTATCAATCCAAAATGACCATAATTGGAAGCCTTACAGGAAGAGTCGGTAACTGCATGTAACGTGGGTGCTATATGTTTAGAGCTGTGATGCTAAGATATCAAAAGTGCAAAATAATGGAGAAATCATTATATTCAGGACATTTCCTTCTCATTGTCCTCACAGCCATGGATGTTAAGTATCAAACAATGAATATATCTTAGGAAGGAAAAATAATTCACTAAACCAGATGAATAATAAAGATAGCTTTGGATACTATAATAATTATATCCATAGGAAAATAATCTAGTTTTTATGTGTTTAGACTATTCCCATATGATTTCTTAGTATGCTATATAATCCAGAAGAATGGTTTGAAAACCTGTCCTCACGACCCAGTAACAGTCCAGGTTTTTTCAGTATCTCCATTGAAATAAAAAAGGGAAGTACATTAATCCTGAATTGTTGATGGGCCATTGAGACTGGTTTGGGAACCACTGATCTAGACTATAACTGTATCTTCTAATGCTGACACTCGAGTCTTGTTCCTCAACTTACGTTACATAGACATGGTGCTATAAGGGTCCAGTAATGAAGCCAGCCATTGCTTTGAATACATTAGGAGAACATGCACTGTACCGAATGCAACGTGCTGGCCTTCCTCTATAAATTGATTAATCCAGTAAGCCTGTAGTGTCTAGAAATGAGGCATTATATATTTTTTTTCTGACTTGAAACAACCTTCGATTCACTGAAGACAATCATGATTTACCATTGCTCATATAGGTAAAAAAAATAGTGTTATCATAGTGTGCAAAACAATCTGTAACAGATTAGCAAGTTTTCAATATAAAAATTCCTTGGGGAGCCTTCAGAAATGACAGAAATGTGTAATTAGGATTTGTGTAGTTAAAAGGCTGTGCAAAGTCTTCCCGTAGACTGATTGCTTTCTCCTTTACCCTCCTTATACAGTGCTACTTCCAAATGGTAATGCTATAGTCAGCAGTACTAAACATAGCCTGGGGGTGCTTGCCAGCCAAATATTCACTCATAGCGCTTCCCTTTTACAGCTGAACCTAATTAAAGCCCTATTAGCAAGGAACTCTGTTTTAACAAGATATAAAAACAAACTGTACACAGATCTTCATTTACATGCTTTCATTGTATACCCACTTGATCACATGCCATTTCCAAACACACACTAGCATAGATCTTGGTGGTTATTAGCTGGTGAGGTAGATGGTATTTGCCTGCATGTTGGTAACTGGATGCCATCTAAATTCTTGTGGGTTAACATATATTTATATATTTTTTCCCTCTTCCAGTTTTTTACCAGCTCTGCTTACTGCTCTTCTTACAAATCACCTTGCCTGGGTTCCAACAGTCATGCCCAACGGACAGCCTCCTATTAAAATCTTTCTTGAGAAGCATTCGTCACAAAGTGTGGATATGTTGGCAAAGACGCACCCTTACAACCCACTCTGGGCACAATTGGGTAAGATGAAGGCAGAAAAAAAATAAAATTGCAGTAGGATGTATAAGCGTTGTAATTCAGACTATGCTTGGCTTCTTGTCAGGGTTTATAGGTCAGTATTTTAACACTCTCTAAATAGTGAAGAAAATCATGACATGCTTTTGTTTTGCCAAATTAGCCACATATAAAAATAATAAGCAATTCTTTCAATTCTATATAATTTTTCCACAAACTGTGCCAGCGGCCTGACCATCAGAATCAGCCAAGGACTACCCTTCGCATGGAATAATGAGGCAGGAAAGAAAGTATGATAGCGCAGGTGATGGAAAGAATTGCTGAGAACCAGGACCGCAAATGCAGGATGAAGAAGATAAATTATAGGCTCCGTTTATAACCGTAAATGAGCTAGGAAACCGGAGCAATATGTAGAATAATTTAAATGCTGATATTAAAGTGTAGAACAGGCATAGGCAACATTTTAGTAGTACTGTGTGAAGACAACATCTTGAAGTCCCTTGGTGTGCCAATCTTTATTTATTTTTTAAATTGAGGTATGTTGTCGTATTGTGCTTGTGTTATTTATGGGTTCTGCAGTTGCTTTGTGACTCTATAACATTGTATTTGTGTGTATGCGAGCTGTTATAGTGTATATGTTCATGAGTAGTTTGTGGTATTGTGTATGATACCTATATATGTAAGCAGAGGGCTTTTTGTGGAATTGTGTGTGGATAATATATATCACATTGTGTGTTTGGTGTTGGGTTGTATACGTGTATGCGGATTGTCCGTGGTGTTGTGTTTGTAGGGACTGTGTGTGAGCAATTTGTCTTATTTGAATGAGGGGCAGGCTTCTTCTGCAACTCTGTGTATATCTAGCAATGTGAATGACTTTCCTGGGGTCCAGAAGGGAGACAGGTATGGCCAGGAACAGGTCAAGGGCAGGTACTGCAGGGCATTGTTACGTTGAGAAAGGGACTGGGGGTCGCAAAACATTTATTATAAGAGCATAAATCAAGCAACTGTGGGTTGCACAAGTGGGCCTGATTACATAAGATGCTCATTGTATGTTTCACTCTGTTTTGCGATTTGATCACTCTGCTGGTGGAGTAGGAGCAGTTTATATACTTATGCTGCACTTGTTGAATTTAGTTTTATTTTTTGCTTTTTGACACTCCTATATGTATTCACTATTTGCAAGCAGACAGCCTGTCTACTGATGTCACTGCATTTGCAGAGTGAAGTAGGGAAGACCATGCACTTTGTGTCTGGAGATTGTCATTTTTGACAGTTTAGAAAATTGCTGATTTTCAAGAAAAACAATTCCCTAGTGAACACTTAGACAGCCTGGGAGGTTTTCTTCCATTTTTGTTCTCTCTACAGTGCTAGGACTAGAGAGTGCCCTCCCCCCTTCTGTACTGCGGCTCATTGAGAAGCATTGGAAAGCTGTGATGAGCACATAGGCTCTGTGATAAGCCTCTGACTGGTCAAGTCCCTATCAAAATCTGAACGTCTGCACAAGGGATAAAGGTGGGGGTTTGCAAAGGCTGCAGACAAAAGAAAGTATGTAGGAAAAAAATACATGCATGTCTTCTTTTGGGTGAATATCAATTAAATAATAATTAAAAAAATAAAGTTGTATGGGTTTTCTAAGAACTAGAACAAACCTTTAGCATATTTTATTGCAAAATGAAACTTTTCTGCTAGGTTCTTTGTGAAGGGGAAAGATTGTGGGCAGGTATACAAGGTTGTATGGAAATCCGCTTTCGTTTTGTACTGTAATGATTTGTGATACGCATATTTTAAACGTGGTTTGAGGGTTTTTCACTTCAGACATTTGCATTGGGTGTGGCAGATCAACTTTCACTTTGGAGTTTAGCTTTGCTGCCATCTACTGCCAGGTATGGATTATGCATGAAATGCCTTTTGCTTATGTTTAAATGGTGGTAACCGTATTAACTATTTAATGTCAATAGATTATGTAGGTAGGAATCAAAGATAATCATTTTATAATTTATATTTAATTGATGGCAGGATTTTTGAAAAACAAACTAGCTATAATGTTGTTCCATAATAAAGTGATAGAAGGAAGCTGGTTCACAAAACAAAATCTTAAAACAAAAAAACTAAATGTATTTGCCTTACTGAGCTGTAACACCAGGCAGTCAGCTTTGATGTTGAGTGGATGTGCTGATCTGTCTGCCTTACCTGCTTGATATTGGCTAAACTCTGGCTCTTTTTTGGTTTGAAGTTTTTATCGCCCCATTGGGTGAATAATAGTGTTTTGGGCTTTAATATATCGTTTGAACACGGTCCATTTTATTGCTTTATCTGATCTTTTAGGCTCTCAAACCATTGAAAGAAAAAAATATATAATTGGACTAATGATAATTAGGTGATTGTCCTCTAAATAATAATCTAATTTAGTTCATGTAAATCTGTGAAATGTTCTCTTGTGTAAGAGACTTCTTCAAAAAATATAATGTAGTTGTATCAGGTTTATTTACTAAACCAGAAACTTGGCATAGAATTCCAAATTTTAGGCCATAATAGTGGAGTTGGAAAATAGCTGGTTTACAAATTTGAGAGTTTATTGGAACTTCCCTGGTCAGCTCTTAGCTTAATGAATGACCATGTATATTTCCCATTTAATGTTATGTAAGTAGGAGTGCTATAATCCTGTTTTGTTTTTGTTTATATATATATATATATATATATATATAAATAGTTTTAAAAAAAATGTGTGCACAAAATTAACAAACAGCCTTAGTACGCCACAATAGTGGTATCAAGGTATATTCAATTTTAGTGTGCAATACATTTCCTAGTATTCAGGCTGTCAAATTACTATAAAAAAAAATATATATATATATATATATATATATATATATATATATATATATATACACATATAAACACTAGCAGGTTCAGACATGTCTTAGTCTATTTATGTAGAGTAAGAGTATGAAGTGGAACTGGCTAGGCATACCGGTCTAGAATCTATAGGAACTTTGAAGCAGAGTAGGCTGTCTAGACGGAAAAAGTGTTGTCTATAGAATATTTTGAATTAACATGCTAGGCAAACTAAGGAAAAACATACAATACCTGGAGCACATTAAATTTAAGAAGATGGTCTGGACAGCAGTGATCGTGTTATCACATAGTATCGGCAGATGGTTGGTAAGTCCCAGTATAGTCACTGTGGCACTGTCCTGGGTGACAATTAAACAGTCAGCCTACACCTGAGATTGGGAAATCTTGTGCAAGAGTATGAAGGGTCAGGAAGGCAACGATACTCTGGCCGAGTTGTGGAGCCTCCCACCTGCCCCAAGTCGGGTTACAGGCCTGCATCCTTGCGCCATGGACTTGAGATCCCTCAAAATTCAAGTCCTTTCCCCTTGGAGAGAAACAGAGGAACCTACGAGCACGGCGCTGCTAAGAGCGGTTTATCCTCCGTCTCTGTGTGCGATGCTTTGGGATCGTGCCCCTCTTGGCCTTCAACCCAGGCGGGCTAGTTGTTGTGGGTCGATGTGTGCCAAGAGAGTGATCGCCCTGGGAGGCTCACTCTGCAGCCAAGTACTGTTCTCCTGAGTTTCCCCTTGTAGCGAAGGTGCTATGGCTGCCTGCCGTGCCACGGGGCATCACAGAAGCGGGTAAAGAGCTTCTCCAGCCGCTTCATGAAGTTTCCTGTAGGGTTAAGATAGACCACCTCATATTGTGTGTGTCGGGGCTCTCTCAAGGAGAGGACAGCCTCCATCTTGTTAAGGTGCACTGCTGCTTGCGGTCAGGATGCACAGCACAGCTTGATATGTCTGCAGGCGCGTGGGGGCCGGGATGACCCCCATCGGTCCAGAGGTGGGGGAGAACTGATCTGCACAATCTGGTCAGGTCAGCCAACCAGGGCACCAGGAGAGCGGCCATCTCTCCCACGCCAGGTCTGCCTGTAGGCCGCAAAGTTGAGGTATTGGGTGATCCAGTGAGTAGCGTCATGATTTTAATATTTGCGTGTTCGCCCCCTTTCAGGAAAGTGTTGTTGTGCGGTCAGATCTGCAAATTGTCAATCACTTAGTGCTTTAAATCACTGCTTGGAGCAGGAGCTCGCACAGCATGCGTCTGCTCCTCACGGATGTCAAGCCCCGCCCCCTCACTATAATGTAACCAGGAAAAATGTGTAAATTATGTGCTGTTACATGGTTGATAGATGAAATGTGCTAACAAACCAATGAATTGAATATCAAACTACTAAATTCAAGCCAGAATAGGCAATATAAAGAAAAGATATTCAGGTCAGCTTTAGTAATCTCTTGGCTATTTTACTTTGCATTTTGCTATTTGTTTTTCATTTCTCCACCATTCACTGTTCAACGAATAGACTACAGTGGATTTTGTGAAAAAAAGAGGTGAAACTTATAACAAGTCTTATTAGCTCGACTCCACTAAAATCAAATCTACAGTCTTCTAAGTCAAATACTTGTAGTATGTGATAAAATGTAAAGTACAATACTCATTTCTATCCCGGGGCTTTGATGGGCCAGTGATGCCTGAGCCTTGAAAAAGAGTCCTCATGAATATATTTGATTAAGTTGTAAAGAAACATATTCAGTTGAAAAAAATTTTGCTTTTTCTTAGTTTCATGGTTGTGACCAATGTTGCCTATATTTATACATTAGAAGTAAAACTATTTTAAATCTTTTCAAGACATCTGTTGATATAATAAATCTTATTTTTATTTTCTTTATTCATAGGCGACTTATATGGAGCGATTGGTTCTCCTGTGCGTTTGGCACGAACAGTGGTGATAGGCAAACGGCAGGATCTTGTGCAGCGGCTACTCTACTTTCTAACCTACTTCATCAGATGCTCTGAACTCCAAGAGACACATCTTTTGGAGAGTGGGGAAGATGAGGCCATTGTTATGCCAGGCACAGTCATAACTACAATGCTTCAGAAAGGAGAGGTGGAGGAGTCAGACTATGTACTTATAACCATGCACAAGAACAAAGGTTGTTTGTTAACCAGAGATGCAGATGAAACTGAACCTTGTGAAAACAAATGTCAGTGTTGTAAATGTCCTCTTACAGACTCGGAAAATAGTAAAATAGATGCGACCCAAAAAAATGGCACTTGTAAAGATTCTGTGGCCGCATCTTTGGATGCAAGTCAGACATCCCCTCTTTCTCTTGGTCAAGAGGAAAGTGAAACCTCTTATACCAAAATCTACAAGGACAAACAAAGATCTTTCTTGGATACCAAAATAGAGAAAGTAATTAACGTAGGGGCTGCTACCCTCGATAAATATAGCATGCCAGTAACAGGGGTAGAACCAGCAGTGAAAGTGGAGAAGGGTGAAAAAACATTTGGCCTTGAAAGCTTGTCTGTCAAAGGAATAGGAAGCAGTGAAATTTTAGTAGAGAAAAAGCCTCCAGATAAGCCCCAGTCTGTGGCAATGCCTTGTAGTTCTGGTTTTCCTTTGAATAAGGTAAAATTTCTGATTGGAGATTCTATGTCACCTGACTCGGATATAGAGGTTAAAAGCCAGACTGTAGTCCATCAGATTAATAAGCACCAAATTACTCAAGCGAAGGAACAGAAAACACTTACTGCTGTACAGAAGGTCGAGACAAAACAAAATATTGCGGACCAAAAAAGTCGAAGTGGTTCTGCTGAAAAACTTCATAAAGTAACCAGCAAAATTCAGAACTGGAACATGTTTCAAGCAGAAAACCTTAGTGTGTTTGATGAATACTTTCCAGAGGATGGTTCTATCGAAGCACCGATTATCGGTGAAATTCCAAGAGAAGATATTAAGGACAGATCAGATTGTGAAAGCAGTTTAGGACTTTCTATCAGTCTGCACACAAACAATAATAAACCTGCTTCTAATTTAATAAATTTTTCTCATCCAAATTTATGTAAAAACTGCTTTGCTGAGCAGGACCAAAGAGACAAAGTCTCTGTTTCTGTCCCCCATGGGGATAAAGAAAACTCTCAAGTTCCCCTGAGCACTGATTGGGACATTCCGAGGAACGAGAGTTCAGACAGTGCATTGGGCGACAGTGAGAGTGAGGATACAAGCCATGAGAGTCACAGGCCAAGCATACACTATTATGGAGCTGAACAAGAAGATTGGATGGAGGAAGAAGAAATCTCTTTTCCAGGGTAATCACATTTAAAAATGCATATTATTTTTGTATTTATCCAGTGTGGTGGAATCCGTACACAAAACTTCAGACTCCTCAATTTTAGTAACTCAGACTCCACAGCACATAACAATTATATATATTATAAGGCATTGGAGTCGGTGGTACCATAATTTGAGAAGTCGTTGTAGAACGTTTCGTGTATCAACTCCACAGCATGACATTTATAGACTTAGAACAGTCTATAACCGACATATACTGAAAGTGTCTGTCTTCCTTTCTTGTCAGTGAAGAGTAATTATCTCACTCACAAATATGTCTACTTTATTTTTTGAAAGCATGATCTTATGCCAATCATAAACTAATGTCACCTTACAGGGCCTAGATTTCATTTGTTCACTCTGCTGGCAAATTGTTAGCGAATGTATAGTTATATATCTTTTTGTTTGTTCATTTTCTGTTTTTAAATACCTGATGTAAATATTGCACAGTGAATACACTGATTCCAGAAAAATACCGTATTTTTCGCTCCATAAGACGCACTTTTTTTCCCCTCAAAAGTGAGGGGAAATGTCTGTGCGTCTTATGGAGCGAATGTGAAGAATTACTTACCTGTCTTGGAGCGTGGGCCGGCTTCACAGCGCGCTCCGCGGTCCAGGAACTTTTATTTCAGGTTCCGGTTTCCGGCGGGACTGAAAGGAAGTGTGCACACTGAGTGTGCACACTTCCTTTCAGTCCCGCCGGAAACCGGAACCTGAAATATTAGTTCCTGGACCGCGGAGCGCGCTGTGAAGCCGGCCCACGCTCCAAGACAGGTAAGTAATTATGGGACAAGGGAAGGGGGAGACACTATGGGACAAGGGGAGGGGAGGAGACACTATGGGACAAGGGGAGGGGGACACTATGGGAGAAAGGGAGGGGAGACACTATGGGAGAAGGGGAGGGGGGACACTATGGGAGAAAGGGAGGGGAGACACTATGGGACAAGGGGAGGGGGGGACACTATGGGACAAGGGGAGGGGGGACACTATGGGACAAGGGGACACTATGGGACAAGGGGATGGGGATACTATGGGACAAGAGGAGGGGGGACACTATGGGACAAGGGGAGGGGGAGACACTATGGTACAAGGGGAGGGGGAGACACTATGGGACAAGGGCAGGGGGGACACTATGGGAGGGAAAGTGCACTATGGAACAATGGGAGGGGGGGACACTATGGGATCAGAACACTAATGGACAAGGGGAGGAGGGGTTAAAGAACACTATGGGACAGGGTAGGAGGGGTTAACAATCACTATGGGACAGGGTAGGAGGGGTTAACAATCACTATGGGACAGGGTAGGAGGGGTTAACAATCACTATGGGACAGAGGAAAGGGGGGTTAAAGATCATTATGGGACAGGGGAGAAAAAAAAAATATTCTGAACAAACTGTCCCATGGTAAGAAACACTATGGAACAGTTTGTTCAGAATATTTTTTTTTCTGGGTTTCCTCCTCTAAAAACTAGGTGCGTCTTATGGTGAGGTGCGTCTTATGGAGCGAAAAATACGGTAGGTTTACATGTAAAAGTGCACAGTTTTTTTTAATAACAATGAAATTTCATTGTGTACGTATAGTTGCAACTGTGTTTTAAGGTGTTGCTAAAATTCATGATGGTTTGATTGTGAGCTTGTTTTAGCAGGGCTTTCCTTATCCCTTTCTCTAATTGTAAAACACCGTGGAATATGTTAAGGATATAAATACTAATTAATTTAAATAAAAAAATAGGTCAATATTTAATATATATTTGCCTACGAAAAGAGCGCCCCAATGTGATTTAATGGCACCTGCAGTGTGTATTGACGTACATGACAAAAAAGCATTACAAAGGCTTAACAATTAATCCATCACCTGGTTTTCTCAAGAGGTTTGATGGTGCAGAGGGATCCTCAGGCGCCTGGACCCTTGCCTAGCATATTGTTATTAGTAATAATAATTTTGTCCCACTTTGGACAGCACTTATTGGTTGAGCATGTAGACGGATGTGCTTCGCCAACAAGTTTAATTCTACATTTATTGCACCTGCGGAATTGTTTGCAAATGACTGACATAATATGAACTGTCTCACAGGTCGAAACTGGTTGAAGTAAACTCTGTAAAACCCAACATTGCCAATTTTGGGAGATCTTTGTTAGCTGGCTACTGCTCTTCCTATGTACCGGACTTTGTTCTTCAAGGGATAGGGAGCGAGGACAGGTTAAGGCAGTGCCTGATGTCAGACTTGTCTCATGCTGTACAGGTAAATTATATTGAAAGGGACCTTCATGGAGAGACGCATTTTAAATTGTTTTTGATATTATGATGTTGATTGTTAATATAAGATAAGATCTCACTCTTTGCATTTGTATTAACCTTTTTTTTTTTCTCTCCTCTTTGCTCTTCTACAGTCTTTTACTTAATTTTGAGTACTAGTTCTGTCTGATATTTTTATTTTTCTTCTTTATCACAATGCGCTTTTCATTCGTTCTTTCTTCAAAGCCTTTTACGGTTATATTAAGCTTTGATTTCTGTTGTATTGCTTTTTTTTACATACGTAGGGCATCTTTTTCAAAAATATGTTTAGGTTAAATCAATGCATATATTCTGTTGTCATACAATAAAAAAAGGCACCATTTTTAAAGAGAGAGAACTGCATGTTTTTTGTAATTATTGGATATCGCGGATGTAGGGAGACTTGAGCTACTTGCACTTTAGTCACAAACTTATCAGTTATAATTTCAAACTAAATTAATAATTTAGCAAAAACGGAAATTCAGAATTACACACAAAAAATGTTAATATGCTGTGTCAAAAACTCAAACCGGCACTTTTTTAACAAAAATAAAACTTTTATTAGCAAATTGGATAACTGGTAGAAGGTAATAAAATATATAACCTCCATGAAGTCAATTGTAATCTAGTCAAGATTTGATTATTACTTACATAAGATACTTGACCTTTTTGCCCAAAATTAACATCTGACTTTTTGTTTTACTTTTTAAGCATCCAGTTTTGGATGAGCCCATTGCGGAAGCTGTCTGCATTATCGCAGACGTGGATAAATGGACAGTGCAAGTGGCCAGTAGCCAGAGACGGACAACAGATAACAAACTGGGAAAAGAAGTGCTGGTATCCAGCCTCGTCTCCAGTTTGCTTCATTCCACTCTCCAGCTATATAAACACAACTTGTCAGCAAATTTTGTGAGTATGATTACTTATAAGTATTTATTTTTGTATCAAAATTAAAAAACTTCCAAAATGATTTATCTACAGAAGTCACCATTAAAGTCTGTGAGACTTTTTGTAGATAAATCATTTGCAAAGTTTTTCTAAATATATTAAATCTTTTGTAAAGCATATCAATCAAATATGTGTGATGATGGTGTTATTTTAAAATGGGCTTAATGCTAGCTTTATCTTTTTGGTTATTGGTTCATGATTGTATTTGGAAAATAGAGAGAGAGCAGAAGGAAGAAATGTATTTTACAAAGTTTGAACCTCTCTTTTCCCCTACCCATAATGTTTATTCTTCTTCTTCGCATACCACAAGAGGAGAGTGTCAGGCTTTTGCGTTTGCATGACAGCAGCACAGTCACAGCCCTTATATCTCTTTTAAGAAACACTCTCCAGACTGTGTGTGTGTGTGTGTGTGTACATGCGTGTGCACACTTGATTAACAAATACCATTCATATCCATATGAATCTATATTCATAGTGTTAATGGAATATTTTTTCTTATACTTTATGATAACATTAATTATCGCTTCCCATAGTGTATCATGCATCTGGAAAATCGGCTGCAGGAACTGTATTTTAAAAGCCGAATGCTGTCAGAATATCTGAAAGGCCAGACCAGAGTTCATGTGAAGGAGCTCAATGAGATTCTTGGGTAAGACCACAACTCCTAACTATTGCATTTTTATTCTGTAGGCAAACAGTGACTAATTACTTTATCAGAAGAATCAATACTGTGCAAGCAGACATTTGGAATTAATAAAATGGCCACTTTATGGTTTAACAAACATTTAGCTCAAATTCCAATTGTTGTTTTGGTCAAAACTTGGACAATTGCCTCTGTTCTTACAGGGTTAAGAGATGTGCGAATTATATTTATTTTCTTTTTTTCCTACCAGAATTGAATCCAGTGATCTTCCATTGTTGGCAGCCGTAGCCAGCACTCACTCTCCATATGTTGCACAAATCCTTCTTTAAAGGGAATGCAGGAAATGAACTCCATTAATTAATACCAGGAGAAAATATTCGTCTTTTGGACCTTTGCGCATCTCGGCAGGGGGGATAACAGACATATTCAGTGAAACCAATAGATCATATCAGTACCTGCATCGGTGAACATAGTCAGCGCCAAAATATCGACAGATTGTGCTTTGCATCATTGATCTTTGGAATTTGCGAAATTAAACTTTTTTTTAAAAGGGTACCACGCAAATTAAAATAGGCTCATTTTTAAGAGTATCAGAACTGTGGGATTCTTTATTTTTTACGAACCTTTTAAACAAGTTATGGGGACTTTGATTTTTGTTTTTTCTTTGTAAATAGGTCTGTAACACAGCATGAACAAACAAGCCAAGGATGGATATGCAACGTCTGGATTTTACCTAATTTAATTTTTTTGCTAATGTTTTTTCCTGTTAATCTTTATTGGCACACATTTCAAGGAAAAAAAATGCTATGAATGAAGAGTTCAAATATAAAAGCTTTTAGAATTTCTACTAGGTGAATTGCAAAACTCCAAATAATATAGGTGTATTGCTTCCTTCTTCAAATAGGCTATTCATTGCTATTACCTCTGAGAGAATGTTATATTCATTAATCCCTGTTGGGACATATAATGCTCTAAAAGTTATAGTCAACCCAGAAAAAATGTTGGTGTGTCCTGTAAAGTTAACCAAAGAAAATTGTCCTGTCAGTTTATTTTTCTGTCCGCTTACTTTTCCTTATGCCCCTCACATCTTAAGAGAACAGTGAAGTGTTAGGAATACAATCCTGTATTCCTAGTGCTTTAGTATCCTGTCTCTAGTTCTAGCGGTTCCTCCCACCCTTTTCAAATAAATTTGAATACAATAAATCTTCTAACTTACCTTTCCCCAGCCCTGAGGCTCTCTTGGTACTGCTTACCTCTCCTCCCTGCAATGTTATAGAGGAGCAATGGCCATCTCTACAACGGTCCAATGCAATGCTTCTCATAGAGGAGCATTTGGGACCTGAGGCGCATGCTCATCCCAAGCTTCTCCATAAGCATTGAATGATTACCTTCTAATGGTGCTTACATGTCATGTGACTGAATTTTACTCTGTCAGTTCTGTGGAAGCACCTCTAGTGGCTGTTAGAAACCTTGCAATATATACATTGCAGTTTCTATTAAAAAAAAAAACAAAAAAAAAAAAACCCCACAAAACAAACCTTTACACTGCATGTTTAAAAGTACAGGACTATTGCACCCAGGCCACTTCATTTAAGTGAAGTGTCCTGGGTGATTTAAGTGGTCCTTTAATGATTAAAACAATCCTCACACACCTTTACTTATATTTATCTTTTCTTCCATATTTTAATATCTGGGTGGTGCCCTTTTGTTATTCTTTGTTTATTGTGTCCAGTTTGACCTTCTGTGGGATTTTTGTGACTTTTGGCTTGTGGGTAAATTAGTTTAACAGTTGAAATGGAAATTTGCTTAAGCTCGACCCATTACCAAAGATTGCATCCCCCATTAGAAAAAGCATTTCCTAATTATATTATGCTTCATTACAAAAAAAAACCACAAAAAATCCCTAAGAAATAGAGGAACAAAAAGGATTAGTTTAAACGCAAAACCTGACAAGTTTTGCCACTTTAAGAAGACATTATTTCCTAATTAGTTTTAAACATACTGCTGCTATGGAAAGAACGGAATTTAGCCTATCACTGCCCTCTTATGTCACATAGTTTCATGTTAAAGGGATGTACCAGTACAAGACTTGGACAATTTATGATAATTTTCATAGTTTTTTATTTTAAATTAATGTGCTCCAGCTGTGCATCCACCCCATCTACATTATTTATTTTTGTCACTGTCCTAATAAGATTGTACTCACTTTGGAGTCCATTTATAGCCTTATATGGTAGATTTCATCATGCTTAGAATTTTCTTATATTAAAGGAGAGCTATACTGCTAGGATTACAAAGTTGTGTTCCTAATTGTATTGCATCCTCTGCCCCTTTCCCTCCACCCCTTCATTACAGCCTCTCAGCGCTGAAAGAGTTAAAATAAATTTTGACACCTGATTCCAGCACCGATGTCCCTCTGCGCTGAGTGAGGCTCCTCCTCAGCCGACTGGGGGACCTAATGCGCAAGCGCATTAGGACTTGCCCGTAGGAAAGCATTGTATCCGTGCTTTCCCATGGGGTGTTAGCCGACACTGGATGTCCTCCTGCAAAGTACTTCTAGTCACTATCTGGTAGACCTCCACTAGAGGTGGAGATAACCCTACAAGGTAATTATTGCAGTTATTTTAATAGCTGCAGTAATTACAATTGCAGGGTTAAGAGGACAGAGACGGTGTACCCAGACCATTTCAATGAGATGAAGTGGTCTGGGTGCCTATAGTGTTCCTTTAATCCCTTAAGGCCACAGGACATGTGTGACATGTCATGATTCCCTTTTATTCCAGAAGTTTGGTCCTCAAGGGGTTAAAAGTATTATGGCCCTGTTACTTTGTGGCTGCACTACCACCTGCTCTACAGCCTTCAGTAAAAAGTTGAGTGCTTAACTCTGGATCGACTAAATACTATAAACCCCATAGTAAGCTTAAGTGTCACAGTATCAGTTGAGATCTCAGCCGCTCCCTTATTTTGGGAAAAATAAATATTGGGACTTCAAAAATAAATATAAATGTATTATTTTAAAATTTATTTTTTCCTGTGCATTTTTCATAGAATGCATTAAATCTGGATAACTAGCCTGGAGCTTACCTTTATAATTTATTTTTAATAGGGGATTTTTTATTTTATTTTCTTTATTCTTTTTACAAATTACAAAATTATTTATTATTCATCAGAGTAGTTCCAACACCACGTTTTCTGTTCTATGAAGGTAAATAATCCCTGAGGGTATGATTTTAGCTTTTTCTACTACCTCACATTCGAACACAAAGTCAATCTTTGCAATAATAATTCTTTCTGATGTAAAAAATATAGTGCAGTGCTAATAAATATACATACAAATCTTCTTTTTTCTTTATCAGTTGTTTCTACTATAGCATACAGCACAAGAGTCCTGTTTTCTGCACGGGGACTTCTCGTTGAATTCCATGGCTTCTAAAACCTGGTGTTTGATGCCTATTCGTTTAGTGTTTGAGTGTTTATTCACATAAAAGTGAACTGAAAACCGAAATACAAATTGTAGGCCAAAGCTGCCAATTTGACAAAAATAAATAAATCTTCAACTTGAGTATAATCTCAGTTTAGATATTTTAGCCTGTTTCAGTTCAATGTTGAGTGAATGCATCCTTTGCGCTTCATTTTTTCCTGAGGTCAATATTGTGCTCACTTTGTTGGGATATACTAAAAGCTGAATTTAATAATATATTTCACTTTTTTTCTTCTAATTTAACTTTGCATAAGTCATTTTATTCTACTCTTCAAATTGATTCTGCGTTTGAATTTAAGTTTGTCTTCTGTAGTCTTGTCACCGTTTTGAGATAGAATAACCATATGGGGTTGCTTTATCAATACGTTGCAGACACTTTGTCCATTTTTGGCAAATTGCTGGTGCAGTTTATTAAAGCTGTTGGCTTTTTTATATATTTTTTGCTCCCTAGACATCATTTTTTTTTTTTAACATTAAAACATTCAATTTTGCTTCTCTTTTATCCATCACTCTAAATTTGCCAGTCTTTTGAAATAGAAATTTCGGTGAAAATGGATGGAATTTACTGTAAAGAATACCATCCCTTTTTAGATCATTTTTAGAACACTAATAAATATGATCAAAGTAATGAAAGAATATAACCCTCACTTTCCAAAGTACTTTGATAAATATATTTTCCCTTAGATCTCTGTAGAATATTTTATATTCAGGTTATTCTGCATTTAAATTTCTTTCTGCCTTATCCTGTCCAGACTGTTCTCTTTGAACTTAAGTATTCTTCCAGTTTGCTATATCTGTGTAATGTTAGTGCGTTCAGACTCCTAATATTATTAATTTACCTGGTAGAAACCAGGTAAATCTTATTGCCCAATTATGATAGCTGCTGTGATGTGGGAGCTGAATAAATTGACAGGTTCACCTTCAGCTATTTCCAGATTCAATCTATACATACATACATATATAGACAAGTACATACATGATGCGTGTACTTTCCTCCCACAATTCCTAGTGTAATATACACGCTCTTATTCCTGTGTCAGAATTCTCTCAAAGTTGCTTGGATGCTTAATTTTTCTGTTATTTGTGGCTGCAGAATTATTTGGATCTTTATAAATGATGACTGATGGCTGACTGTTTCAGTGAGCAGAATGTAAGAATGCATTTTTCGCATTTGATTAGTGACGTCAAGCCATTTTTTTGTGTGTGTGTTTTTGTCCAGATGGCTAACTGTTTGAGCTGTACTGCCACGTTTGAACAATTTATGTCCTTAGACAGTTGCCGTTTATACCTGTAGTGTATCTCCAATAAATAAGCAGGGGTGTTTAAATAAGTCAATCTCCCTATATATTTTCATTTGAAACAAAGAGAGAGAAGTTTAAATTTGAACTCTAGCTGCCAATATCCTCCATTTTGCAGAGACCTGTCCTGGATTATTGTCTTTATGTTGCATGCATGCAGATTGTTTACAGCAGATTCTAATAAATTGCATGCACTTTATTTTATTGTATTTGCATTTGTACAAAAACATGTAAATCTTGTGCAGTCACGTATGAAAGAAACAAATTACGCTCTATGGTATTTTGGATCACAGAATTTTAAATGTGTACGTTTTTGTTTTATATATAAAATAAATGGATCTGTATAACATTTCACTATTTACTATAGCATGTCAAAACAGGAGACTATTAACACTTTTTTTAAAGCTATTTTTGTTTTTGAAAAAGCAGATCATGATGACCCCTTCAACAAAAAAGGGCTTTTTTAATGATATTGAAAATGTCATACAACTAAACATTCTGCTTATTGAAGAAATTACAGAGCACTGTGGCGATTAAACGTTTATCTTTTCTATCGGACCTATTTTTTTCAGAAAATAAGATATAATATATATTCTAGGCCTGCTCACACTTTACACAGGATTCGCATAATATGAGATTATTAATATTTTTAACTTTCTTGCAGAGATACTAAGCGCCAATTTTAAAACTACTTTTGCAATACGAAAAAAGGCCTCATGCATTTGACCAAAGTCCTGATAATAAAACCTTATGTCTTAATTACATGTCTAAAGAACTGATACTCACCCTGTTTGTGTATTTTATGATCTTCCTGGTATGCTATGAAAATGTATTTGTTTATGTTGGTTTGCTTACTTTAAATTATTTAGATGAATTCTGTGACAATGTACAGAGCAGTCTTCCTATTTTGTAAATATTTTCCATAACATGCACTGTATTATATTAACCATTCCCAATTTTATGGGGAGCTTTGGTGCAATAAATTCGGTCTATAAAAATATTTGTTTCCTTTTGTTTGTGGAGCTATGGCTTGGAATTGGTCATCATGGGCAACCTACAGTACAATATCTATTACCAGTCCCACTGAACACATGTTGGTGTCCCCAAAAATCCTGGATTTTTTTTTTTTTTAAACTGGTCCTTTAAATAACAACATGACCGTAATCTTTTTGCATCTAATCTATGTGAAGGAAACAAATACGTTTGATAACAACTTCATTAGAGTAGGGGTGTCCAAAAGGTAGATCCCCAAATGCTTTAAAACTACAGCTTCCTTGATGCTTTCCATCCCTTTAGAATGCATTTAGAGTGGCAAAGTCTCATGAGAGTTGTAGTTCTACTACATCTTGGGATCTATTATTTGGGCACCCCTGCATTAGTCACAACTTGAACAAACTTCCTACTTTAATTGTTACCACATTGCTTCTAACATTAACAAAAGCAAATTTATCTTGGTCTGTAATATGTAGGTAGAAATCCACTATTGATTTGACAAAATATAAAAATTGTAATGTTGCCTTTGACCTCAATGGCCACTTAATTTGAGAGCTCCCGCTAATCTTCTTACAATCTAGGACATGCCAGCGGCATTGATACTCACAAAAGCTTATCTTTGACATCGAGAAGTCCAGTACAGATTCTGGAGCGAAACCACCTTGGGAACACCAAGAACAGAGCAATACTACTTTAATAGTGGTTGATCTGTTTGCCGCCTCACACTCTTCTCAGGCCTCTCAAGATGGTTACCACGCAAGCCAACGTGGCTTGCTTCGCCCAGCTTCTGCAGTGGATAGCAAAATTCCCACATTCTCATGAAACTCGCTTTAGAAAAAACATACCTCGCAGACAAAATCACCCGCAGCTCTCATGAGGTGAAGGCTGAGACTCTGGCATTGGGTGCATGCATATTGGACCAAGAGCATCTGGTAGAATCTGTGGTGCAAGCCAATAACAACAGGGTGACACACTCTGAGTCAATGGCACAGAAAATTGACAGCCTCGACAGGTTAGTGGAGGACCTCTGAAACTGTTATAGACGCAACAATTTGATGCATTGCTCTCCCAAAATCTTTCACCAGTTACTCTGCAAAAACGGAGGGAATAGAAACCTGTGGCAGAGTTTCTGCAACAGTATAAGATCCGTTCTATTTGCGGACACCCCTTTAAGTGTGTTGCCTTTCAAGCTGGTAAAACTCGCACCTTGATGCTGGGAACTGGCCCAGCTCTCTTAACTACACAGACCACCTTCTGACTTCACCTAACCTTGGCCAGCACGTCCAGCGCTGAACTCACTCGCGACTGGTATGGATTGAGAACCGCACCTGAAGTAGTACTTTTACAGATAAGTGATCTCCTACACATCTGTACAGGAGCCACAGGGGGGCAGGCGTTTTAAGGGGTAGCAAGGGGTATGCCTTAATCTGTATTGTATGGGCGCTAGAGCCTTTCCCTTGTATTTAATCAGACAGCGATGATTTCTACTGTGTATAGCTAACTTTTGCTTATTATTGTATACACATTTTACCTCTGTCAAATATGGGTATATGGCCGGGAGGTGGGGGAATGGGTTGTGGGTTTGATATACTTCCTAACTATTGTTGTAATGTACTTACTGCAGTCTTATGGTCCCATACCAGCTAAGTGTTACTTGTTATACTCATGACAATCAGTTTATTCACTGATCCCTCCCAACCCGACATTTCCATATTGCCAACATACCTTCCACTACTGACAGATCCAAAGCCTTTTGACACATGTGCTGACTAATGGTTTTCACTTCGATCTTGCTTCATTCACACACCGCATCACGGGATGGGTACTTTACACGGGCTTTGGGTCTCAACGGGAGAACAAAATGGGGGGAAATTGACACCTCTCCGCGAACCCCATTGAACACTGTAACGGGCATGTTGGTACAGGCCTGTTTCAGGGCCCCGACAACATGGTATTGTAATGTGTAAGCTTCTCCCCTCTCTGTTGAAACCTATCTGGTCCTGTCCCTAACACTTTTCTCGCTGTGGCAGGAGGACTGACCCCAAAAGGATGTCAAGTAGGGTTGCCCAGACTAATTACCTATTCCCAATTTACGCAGCTGTTAATGGAGAGGGGTGACGACTACCGTGACTGTACTGTTTGGACCTAAATGGGGTGAGGAACAAATGGGACAGATTAATCACAAAATATATCCCCCACCAAGTTCTCAAAATTCTACTTACATTGCTGTAGCTCACAGAGTGGGGACCCCCAATGCAAAGCTGGAATATTGGCATAGCCTGGATCTCCTAAGCTGTGACACAGAGCCCCAAAAAGGCTGATATTGCCTTTATACAGGAAACACATCTCCCCAGGCCGGCCTGTATAAGATTAAAAGATAGTCTATAGTAGGATTTACGAAGCAAGAAGGCTAAGTAAGTGGGCTGGGGTGGCTATTTCTCCTACAAACCACAAGTTTGTTTGTTCTGCCCTCATTATCACTATCACTGACATTCAACACGTATTCTGCCCACATTCAGCCTTTCACTAACTAGGATGGCATTCACAGTTCAGCCCAAACTTGGAACTCATTTGGATCCAGCGAATTTTACTTCTAATGCAAATTTAGCCTATTTTCAATCTTACATAGTATGACAAACTCCCCTGTTCCTGTGAGTTTGCCACAAGTTTTTGGAGGGGCCTGTTCGCCAGCCTCTTACCCTGTGACAATGGCCCCTGCAATAGACCTGGTTAAAATACTTTAAACAGGCTCTGTTCGTGCAATTGGGACTATATGGTTCGTTTAGCGAACAGCCGCACAAACCGGAGACCACCCTGGAGCTTGTTAAACTTAATTGATACATTCTTGCAATTTGCACCTCTGTGGTCTGTGTCTGTGGGTGGCTGCAATTCCTATGACTGACCACGAGGTGGCGGCCATCTTGTTCACATGTACCAAAACCACAATTAGACTTAGCTGCGAATGCCCTGGAACTATTTTCGGCATGAAAACTTTGCGGTTCCCGGTCAGTCCTCCAGCCGCAATTCTATGGAACTATTTTCGGCAATGGGACCATGCCTGTGGTCAGTAAAAACTATGACTTCCATGAAATGTCCGAACCCCTGAACTGATCTGGGTGATTTTTGGATATGTTGGTCACCCAGATCAGGACCATCAGGGAATGTAACATTTGTGGGGTTTTATGTATTTTTAGGGTACTTTTGGGGTGTTTTGGAAAAAGTGTGTTTTTTCTGTGCTTGGAGATAATTGGATTAGAATTAGTACATTTACTGATCCAATTATCTCCCAAGCAGGCAGGAGGGATTGTATGTTTGTTATGGGAGTGTAAGGCTTTTTTATTTTTTTTATTTTTTATAATTCTTTATTTTTGTTGTGCATGTTTTAACAACGAGCGTGTGTTGCCACAACAGCAGTTACACGCAAAATCATACATTTTCAAACATGGCAAATAATATGACTGCACATTTTTATATAGTATAAAACAGAAGTGATATGCATACGGCATAGAAACATGTTTGATCTATCTGTGCTAACAATAGGAGGAGCAGGTAATAGTTGCTTAATGGCTAGCACATTACAAAATATAAGATATGAAACTGGTAGAGATTGGTCGCACATTTTTAAGTATGTTTGATCTATCTGTGCTATCAATAGGAGGAACAGACAATAGTCGCTTAACGGCTAGCACATTGCAAAATATAAGATATGAAACTGTTAGAGATTAGTCACACATTGTATTTATATGATCTCTAGAACACATTGTAGACAAGGTGGAGTCAGCAGCTAATGCTTAGATTGTAAAGGCAAACAGGACATATCTACATGAAATGAGATTCCACTGGGTGGCCTGGCAGGTGATCTGTTATTGCTAAGGTGGGATTCATAAAGGCACAGGGTGCCAACGCATACTATTTAGCATGAGGTCGTAGTGAGGGGGGGGGTGTGTACTACTGCTTTGGGCCCAAGCTGGGGGCTTAGTTATGCAGGCCAGGAGTCCCTCAGCCTATGCCAGTTACGGGCATCGGTGGCAGATACTTGCTGTGTCCATATAAAGCTCGCTGCCCAGTGGGGCCCCCTGGATTAGTTCCATCTGTGGTGTTTCCGTGTGAGGCGTCCTTCTGTACAGCCACGTGGTGCTCAGCCATCTTCTCCGGGCGTAGAGTTGTGAGTAGGTGGTGTGGCTGCAGGGATGGCTCGTTGATCCAGCCGCTGTGTGCATAGGTGCGAGTGCGTGGGTTCCGGCAGCCTGGTACTATGGTCCGCCATGACGGTTTTTGGCGCCTTCGTGGCCATTTAGATGGCCTGTTGGCTTGGAGTGGGTATCTGTAATGGCGTCTGCGGGTCACAGGGCGGATCCATGAGGCGATCGTTCTGGTTGCAGGACACTCCGCGGTGGCGAAGTAGTGTCCAGAGGCCCTTGCAGAGCCTGTCAAAGCCCTCCATGCAGCCAGCGGGTGGTGTGGCGTGTGCGCCTGCCAATCTTGGCTTCTGCTGGGCAGCCATTTTGTGTGTACCTTGGTGGTCCAGCGTTCCTGCCGGCGACGTAGCCAAGGGGCAGATCAGCCTGCCTGGTCTGTCTGCCCAGTGGGGACCGGGATATCCCCCACCGGTCCAAAGGGGGGGGGGGTTTGGAAACCTGCTTGGTTGCTTGGGGTGTCCGGTGTCGGAGAGAGCGGCCGCCTCTCCCCGGCCCCGGCTTCTGTAGGCCGCGCTTGGTGTCCCGCTTATATAGCTCCTACGAGCTCCAAAAAAGTCTCATTTGGTTCAGGGGTGCACCCCCGAGGTGGGTGATGCACCCTGGCAGGTCTTTGGGCTATTTAGCCCTCGTTTGTGCCGCTTTTCCTGCCCGTCGAGCAGGAGCTCGTGTCCCCTGCTTCTGCTCGGTTCAGCGGTCAGACTCCGCCCCCGTAAGGCTTTTTATCACTGTTCTTATTGGTCTGTGTCTTTGTGTTGGAGTCCCCAACAAGATCCATGTGGCAGTACCCCTTGCAAGGGGATTGTCAT